TTCATGGCAACGTTCTAGCAATATCAGAGCTTGCAAAAAGACAGAGGCAATACCTCCAATACCTTTGGCACTATCTGGTGAAGTTACAGTGCCATATAAGAGACCTGGCTATTTTCGTTTTTACAGTTAAAATGTTGATAGATCAATTTGATGGGCCTATTCTGCATTTTGGGGAATTGTAGCAGCTTGAAAGTTCAACCTACCCCACAAATGCATACCGTTTGAGAAAGTAGACACCATGGGGTATATCATATATTTTGTGCCTTATTATACAGCCATTTTAGCACCAATTTATTATTATTGGGGCATTTTTTAACATGAACGTTGCAATTTAGCTCCTTTTAGTTTGTATACTTGATATGCGGTACTGTAATAAAAAATCAACAAATTGTGCTTTGCATACCCTTGTCCAGCTTTTGTAAAAATACAGGGCTGAATTTATAACCTGCCATGTGCAGTTTATCCAAAAAATGGCAAATTTGAGATTGGTCTATGTTGCATTTTGGGTCATTTAAGCACCTCATATATTTATATTATTACATAAATACATACCATTTTCAAAAGTGGGCGCCATTGGGACTCTCATAAGATGTATTTTACGTTCTTGTTGAAGTGCCATTTTTTCCAAAATTTCTGTTCTTAATTTCTATTCTTACATTTTTATATACATACTGCATTTTTACCACTTAATTTTTTTATATTGCATATGTCCTACAGTAATAACATTACTTTAACTGAACTCAACAACATCTTCTGAGTACAACAATGCACCCAACGTATAGTTTTGCAAAATAACAATCTTAATCCCAATCCATCAGAAAAATTCCCTTGCTGACACTAATCCTAACACTAATCCTAACCCTAATCTGAAACCAATCCCAATCCTAAAATGAAATATAATCTCAAACCAAAACAGAAACCAATTAAAAACCTAATAGTTATTCTAAACCTTACACCTTATTTTCTTTATACTCTCCTTCCTTTATATTCTCTTTTGGTTTAATTTTACAAGCCAGTGGCAAGACTTAAATAGCAATACCCACACTATTGGAGCTAGATGGGCACTGGTCCACTTGTTTGGTTATTTTGAAATATCAGTTCTGTTGCAATAACTATTCTTATTTTTAATATTTGGTTTTTAGTGGGGACAAAATAAGATGCATGCAATCTATTGCTGTTCTTCCCTACATGAAGCTTACATAAACTGTACATTTTGTATATAAGCAATGCTCAAAAATTGTTTGGTTGTTACCGTTTGCGCCAACAGGTTTACGGATTTCTTTCTGATGAGGATTGTCAAGTTTCCTCTACATAAACATAAATGAAAAATGACTTAAGACTGGGAATGAGACTCAGAGATGCTGCTACAGAAAATTATTTCCATTACTTTTCACTTCAATGATGTATTTGTACATGCCGCTAATGCTCTAGTAAACCTCGTACTCTAGTTCTTGAACTAATGTGAATAGAAGCTGCAGGCATGCTTGTTGTCTGTCCAGATGCATCACTTTTGGCATCCAATTTGCTGCTTACATAAAGCACAAAGGACAGTTTCTAAATAAATAGTGGAGTTGAAAGCAACAGATGAGAAACTTTAGGAAATACTTCATGTGAAGCATTCATAAGCTGAGAGTGGCTATAGAAATTATAAATAGCACTACTAGAATCACAGACCTAAAATACATAGACAGATCAATTCGCTTTCCAATATTGATTCCTCTGTTCTTGTACCTCAAAAAAAAATGTTCATGTACATGGATACATGGAATCCCACAGAATAATCTTGCTACAGAACTGTCACAGGAGCTATTCTGTAGATAGAAAGTAAACACTACTCTAGGCAACTCTTATATTCGAGTGCTGATACTTAAAGACAATGAAAGACAGAGCATTAAAGCCCCATTGTTATGCATTAGAACATGCCGAATGGCTCTCTGTGACACTGAAATGGTTAAAACCTATGTTAACTATACTTAAATTATCATGTTACCAGCTTATAGGTAGATTGTAACTTGTTTCTACTTTACACAGTGAAATCCATAAATATTTCCACAGTTTAATTTTCTAATTTTATTTCTTAAAAATAGTCAACAGATGTCTAAATAAGATCTCCAAGTAGAGGGTCACAGTCCCACGCACTATGATTGGCGTCTTGGCTATGTCCCCACTATTTCTCTCTGGTTAAATGATAACATAGTTTTCATCTGTAGATATTAATTTGATCCCAGTGTAGGAAACAAAGGCAAGAAATTACTCTTCCCACGTAATTTAATATTTATAGTATTAATGTACAGTCTTCTCTCTCTCTTAAAGCAATTTGTTTGTATGTCTATCTCTAATGTTAAAATTATTGTAGGACCAACTCATTTTGGGGTACTATGTAAACAGTGGTGGCTTTAAGCATAGTATGTTCATATGTTATGACCCATGTTCTTTTGCTTAAAGGGTTACTCCAACTAGAAAACAATGTTTTAATAATAACACACTATTTTTAGATTGAGTAAACTTTGCTGGCATGGTCCTTACCTATTCAAATATTAAATAATAATTAAAAATAGAGCTTACTTACATTCATCCAAGGCCAAGTTCTTTCTGCAGCCCAATCCTCCTCTGGAAATGTTATTCCCCCTTGCTGGAGGAAATAAAAACACCCGGAAGATGTGAAAAGGTAGGGCGACATGTAGAGAGGGTTGGTTGTTTGTCTCCAGCATGCTATGCATGCTGATGAATGGTGCCCAATAAGCATATAATTCACATTGCCCAGCCTGGGACTCTTATTCTGGGATGGCTAATGATGCTGCCAGATATGGAGTTACAATGTGCTCTTCCAATGTATGTGCAGAGTTTCAAACTGAAATCCTGCATTTACAGACTCCAAGCACATGATCACCTTAACTAAGGCTGGTGAATTTAAATAGCCTTGTAAAATGTTAAACTATAGCATAAGTTTTGGTTTCATCAACATCAACTGAATTGTTTCTATGTATCGGTACTTCATTACCACAATACACACCTTCACCATTTCTCTGACACAATGAGGGAGAATTGTTATTAGATATTTAGCAAGTTCACATAATCTCCTATCTTCTGGTGGATCTTCTCAGTGACCTCCATATTCCCTTAACCAAGAGCATGTGAAGGTTTAATAAATAATCGGTGCATCTGTGCCTTAATTTATTTGATTATTTTGTACTTTCAGCAGAATTTTTATTTTATATTTGTTATTTTGCTTTATTAAATAAATGCCAATTTCCACTGAAATTTGTGAGGACATACTCGCATCATTTAGTATCATTGGACATTGTCAAGAACCTTTAACTATATTTATTCTGAAAAGTGGCTCTCACATTTTTTTCTCTGCTACCCTACCAATGTTTTTCAGTTTAGTGGGAGACCTACTCCTTTACTTATGTATTTGTATATAACGTTTTGAGCAGCCAATTGGCATATTTTAGTAATTAACTGCCAGCTAAACGGGAGAAAAGTATTTAAGAAAATCCCAAGTTTGAGAATTTGACTTCTTCATAAATTGATCAATATGGAATAACTGTGCATTTTTTCATCTTCTGTTATGAATATATAATACAAAGTTCACATCCACAGAAGATTTTGCACAACCTAATTCAGAGACACATATGGCTGTTCCATATTTTGTCAAATGTCGACCCTTTACCACACTGACAGAATATACCTTTCTCCAATTTTATTGGTATTAAAGTTTGAAGGTTTAAAGTTCTCATTTAAGGATACCACACATTTCTTAAACAATTAGAAGCAGTTGAATGGGGAAATAAATTGGTCATGTGTGATGTAAACAGCTTGTATACATGAATTGAACATTACAAGGGAAGTGAAGACAGTAGAGATATATTGGAAAAGACAGGGCTATGAACCCAAGATTAAATTAACTTTATAGTTGAAAACATACTACTAATTTTAAGTGATAATGTTTTTAGGTTTGACAACAGTTTTTTCACCAAAATATTGGTACCACTATGAGGATAACAATTGTTCCCAGTTATGCCAACCTCCTTATGTCCTGATGGGAAGATCAGCTATATATGAGCTGACCATGATTGGGATGTGAATCTGATCATGTATAGAAGTTTTGCAAATGATGTTTTGGAAGAATAGGTAATATTATTTCTAAAATATATTAATAGTAGGGGAATACCTTTGTAAGACCACAGGGGTGGAATTTTCCTCAAGAAGGTTTATGTGAATTATGTATTAAACACTAGCTGACACTCTGGGCTGTCTAACATTCCAGAATATTAATTTTGGAGGACTGAGTGAAATTGCGCAGAAACAGGAACAAGTAGAAGTTTTAAAAAATAGATTTCTGTAGTAAAAATATAATGCCAGGATGGTAGAGCCAGCCTTAGTGATATGTTAGTTTTCTTCGCTAGGTAAGTATTATTAAGAGACCATATATTTAACTTTAATACTTGCATTCATTCTTGTAAGAGCACGTTAACGTTTCCCTCATTGCCCTTTGCTATTTTTAAAAAAAATCGAAAGTGCAAAGTATATGTAAAAAGTGATTTTCTAAACCAACTTTTTTCACAGGTTGGTTATTTCACCAATGATTGCGAAAAGCAACTAACCACAAAAAAGTAAGATTTTCTTAAAGGTAAAATAATAAAAAAAAAAAAAAATGACCACAATAGCATACTAAAAATAAATAAATATATAAACTAATGAATTGTTTAGTGAATAACACTTCTATTTATTATTAGAGGGATAGTACAGCCACAAGATACCTTTGAATAGTATTCTTATTGTGTTGAAGAACTTGAGCTAATTATGTTTATCATGTTTATAACCCTAATTGTTCAGTAGAACAGTTTTTTCTTATGTTTAACCTACAGGTAGAAAGGGTAAAAGTTAAAACTATTACACCGATGATCTCTTTCAAATCCAATGATTATCTTTCTGGCACACAAATAGTTAAAATAACAACTTTGAATCAACTTTTATGCATAGAGCAGATGTCAGATGGTAAAGCTCGCTTGTTCCCAGATCATGTTGCCTGCTGCCAAGTCTCGCGAGCTTTAATTCAGAGGCAGTTTCTATTAATGTCAGTACTATCCAATTTACAGAACTGAAGCAGCAGATGCATAACTAGTCACTAAACACCTCAAGATCATCACTGTTTAAAACTTTGCAACCTTGTTACAGGTAAGTGTTTTTGAATGTCTCTATACAGCAGAGTATTTTTTTTTCTTGTGCATTCCTCCTATTTCAAGTTTCTGTCATCTGAGCAGAGAAAAAACTACTTAAATATCTCTGTTTTATTGTGCTCCCTGTTTTACTTTTCCATATCAAAATGAACTGCTCCTATGTATTTACATGCTAAATAGTTAAGATGCAATTTTTTTAGAGCAATTCTGCTGCTTAAATAAATTGCTAGGTATTCTGAGGACAATCTATTAGAATCTATATAACACTTAATAATAATGGAAGGATTCATGGTGGTTATGTATTTGTTTTGAATTAGTTAGCTTAGCAACATTATGTAGGAGATATGAATAAAATAAAATAAAAAGGAATTCATGTGTGTGTGTAATTGAAAACAAAGTATCATTTTTTATCTTATGTATATTTCCTACAGAATTTTAATAAGATAACATATATCTATTATAGTTTAGTAAACACTGTATATTTGATTTTATTTATATTCCCTCTTCTTTTCTCTCATTCTCTCTATTCCCTTTCCTTTCCTCTCCAAGTTTGTTATTATAAAGAATGTTTTCTTGTTAAAAAAAAATCACTTTTTAAGTTTGTGTGTTACATGTTGATTATATTATATTTTAAATATATTTTGCAATTTGTATGTACATGGTGTATAGACTTTGTACTTCGCAAATGGTTTGTTTTCATTACAATTCTAAATAAATCTTTGCTAAAGCTATCTGAATTGTGCTATAGATTTTTCCCTGTAAAATAAATATATTTTTATAGAGTTTTTGTTCAAAACAGGTGCAGGCAACACATCTGCTTTGTTCATCATAAGTATTAAACACTCATATATATACTTAAAATTTAAATTGTATGTCTAGTAAAAAAAAAAAATGTATTACTTTAATTAGCAATACATGCAAGGAGCCTCATCCATTATTACACCCTCACTCCCCTCCACCCCCCAAAAAAGTTTAATCATGTTTAGTAAAAAAAAATAGCAAATACCAAGGAAAGTTGGCTGAATTTAGATTTTATGGGAAATGGTGTAAACAACACTCCCTTTCTTCTATTAGGAAACATGCACATGGTAACAAAAGATTTACTGTTATGATGTGTAAAGCAGAAATCTGCTGTATAAATAAAGCTTTGTATTATATTTCTCTCTAAAAAAAAAAGTCCCATTCTTCCTTGGTGATTACTGTCAGTCTTTAAGCATGTAATTCCTATTATATTATCAGCTAAAAATAAATCTGAACAGGAATAGTTTTAGTTACAGGATTATTATATTAGAATCAACTATTATAAATATGTAAAGGTTACACGAGGGTAGCGTTATGTGATAAATAATAGACATCCAGAGTGTTCAGCATATTGTATATATAATATTTATTAACATGACAGCTAATTCTTTTCCATTCTATTAATACAAGTCTAAATATATGACTGTAACAAACCTTTAACTCTTTAGTGGCTTCAATATACAGAAGAGGCTGTGAATAAATGCTTCAAAAGCATAGCACGATATATATACACAAATGTGTGTTATTTACAAGACTTGAATTATTTGTATATATTGTATAGCAGTATATTAGCCCTTCAATATAGCACAGTTAAAAATCCCTAAATAAAATATGGAAACATACAACTATCATTAAGACAACCCCAAGGAGTACGATGATATAGAGTTCTTGAGATTACTGCTAATCCACCAGGAACATTATTGAACACTCGGTTGAAATCTGAATTTTGTAGTTATCGCTTTCATCTGATGTAATTTATGGGTAGATTTTAAGGTATAATCATGAACATGTAATATAAATCATGTGATCTGGCCTTTCATACTTGAATTATGTAGTTAATGTTGCCTTATGATAATATGACTGGGGTGTGAATCTGAACTCCTGAACAATCTGTGCGAAAAAACTGAATTGAAAAAACAATTTCAAATGTGGCAAGGATTTCTATTTTTCTAAATGTTATTTTGGTGAACAGTTTGCAAAACAATTTGTGTTTGCTAAATTAAAAACTTTTGATAGACTGAGAACTGTGTACCACTGACAAAGATAACACAAGAAACCACAAAAAAACCACAATCTCCAACAATACCTTGTTTAATAAACAATCCTGTAACTGTTTTGCTATATCCCAAATTAATTCTTAAGAGTTTGCCAAATGAATACTAAAATGACAAATAGATATGTATTTGTGTATATGCATATATTGATTGGTGTGACTGACACCTTGCCTGCCTGAAGTTGGTGAAAGGTTCTGAAAATAGCAGTCAGCAGTCTGTCATAATTTGTTCACTCTAATTAAAAATATGCCCTTAGTGGAGCTCCAAAGAAAAATCACATAAAGGACTGAATTCATGACAGAAGACGCAAATAGCAGTTGTTAACTTGGAGTGCGACATCTACCAATCTCGGAAAAGCCAGGTCATATTTGTTCTGTGCTTCCCTAATATTAAAGAAACCCTTATCCTGGTCTTGTGGGTTATTCTGAATTATTCAAAATTCCTCAATGGATATTTTTTCATTATAACAGTATGCATCACGTGTAAAAACAAAAAATGTATAAACAAAACTGTGTTTGTGTTAATAGTAGAAATATTAATTTACTATTATGCTTATAATGTATACAGATGTAAGAAATGGCAATAAGACGCATTCTCTAAAATATGTAAATTTCCCTTAAATTACTGAATGCAAAAATGAGTGCAAGCATGAATTAACCAGTCACATATAAATAACACATTTTATTTTCAGTACAAAATAACATGTTAAAATATGTTTTCTAAATGTTTGCAGAATTATCGGGATGTTTCTAATGCTTCTATTAAGACTAAATATGCTTTATGTATTTCAGTTATCAAGAATGTGGCACAATTTGATACAAGGAAAGAATATCTCTGCAATCTGTTTTACTGTAATTTGTATGTTTTTTATTAACTGTTATTGTGATGATGATGAACCCATTGTAAATACTAAATATGGAAAAATAAGAGGTATAGAGATATCAGTATTCTCTGGAATAATAACAGCATTTCTTGGAATTCCATATGGAGAACCACCAGTTGGAGCCTTGAGGTTTAAAAAAGCAGAACCTTATAAACCATGGCAAGGGGTCCGAAATGCTTCAACATATGGAAACACTTGCTATCAATATGTAGATCAAACATTCCCTGGATTTTCTGGGGCTGAGATGTGGAATCCAAATACTGAATTAAGTGAAGATTGTTTGTACCTCAATATATGGATACCTACCCCAAAGCCAAAAAATGCAAGTGTCATGGTCTGGATTTATGGTGGTGGTTTTGAAACTGGGACATCTTCTTTAGATATATATGATGGAAAGTTTTTGGCCAGAACCGAAAGAGTTATTGTAGTATCAATGAACTACAGAGTTGGGGTATTGGGATTTCTGGCTTTTCCTGATAATCCAGAAGCGCCAGGAAATGCAGGCCTATTTGATCAGAAATTAGGCCTGCAATGGATTTATGAGAACATAGCAGCATTTGGTGGGAACCCAAAGAGCATAACAATTTTTGGAGAAAGTGCTGGTGGAGTCTCAGTTAGTTATCATTTGCTTTCTCCGAAAAGTCACCCTTTTTTTACAAGAGCTATAATGCAGAGTGGAACTGCTAATGCACCTTGGGGGGTAGTTACTAAAAAAGAGGCCCAAACCCGAGCCCTAGGCTTGGCAAATCTATTGAGCTGTTCTTTCAGAAATGAAACTGAAATAATTGCTTGCCTTCGTAATAAGACTCCTCAGGAAATAGTTGAAAAATCAGTTTCAACTATAAGACACAGATCATCTTTAATAGAAATACATTTTCCTCCGTCAGTTGATGGGGATTTTCTCATGGATAAACCTGAAGTGTTGATACAACTCGGCCAACTTAAAAAAAATACGCAGATATTAACTGGTGTCAATAAGGATGAAGGCTCATATTTCTTAGTATATCAATTGCCTGGATTTAGCAAAGATCATGAAAGTTTTATAAACAAGACTCAATTTCAGGAAAGTGTAAAATTGGCATTTAATAAAGCAACGGAACTTGCTTTAGACTCTATTATTTTCCATTATACAAACTGGGAGGACGAACAGAATCCTGTTCATAATCGTGATTTAATGAATGAGATCGCTGGAGATTACAATTTTATATGTCCGTTGCTGGAATTCACAAAAAGAAATACCGAACTTGGAAACAGTGCTTACTTATACTTCTTCAACCACAGATCATCCAAACTTGCGTGGCCAAGTTGGATGGGAGTTGTGCACGGATATGAGATAGAATTTGTTTTTGGAATTCCAATGCATAGAAGACTTAATTATACAAGAGCAGAGGAAAACTTGAGCAGAGCTGTAATGAAATATTGGGCAAACTTTGCTAAGACAGGGTAAGTTCTTCATGTTTATAATTAATTATAATAGCAGCTTGTGTAAAATAATTTGCTAATGAAGTTATGGGCATTTGTTCAAATCACGATGCCAAAAAGAATGTTAGAATATTGTTTTCTTACAAACTCAGGGGGACATTAGGTGACAGCAGGAGATGATCTTAGCACCTTGTGTCCTTATAGATTTTTCTTTATCTTCCCATCTCCTACAAGAATGTCAACAAATGGTGTCAAAAGCTGCAGCTGTTCTAAATTAAAGCAAACATAGTTTTGAATTACATAACAATTTGCACATGTGCTTCTAGAGCTGGCTTCACTGATAAATGTTCACGGCTCTTTCACTTTTACTGTTTACATTTTTCACAACATGACAATTACACATCATTTGAGATGTTATTTTAGCACAAGATTTTTTTGGGAGATTTACTTTTTATTTACAATTTTATGTTGTATACCTATTTGAAACCCATTACTTCAACAAACAATGCTGTTCCTTACAGGATTTATGAGTTAATCCCTGTGCTATTTTTAAATAGAGTTCTCATAATTAAAAGCTACTAATCCTACTCTATCCATAGTTCATCTATTTTGTAGTGAGACATTTCCAGTTGAGCATCACGTTTGCCATCATGGTGTTTTGTTGCCATTCTTACTGACCTTGATGAAACATTGCAAAGTCATATTTTAAGATAAGGCATTTTGGGTGCAACACATATAGTCCAACCATATGCAGATAACTGCCACTACATGTAAGGCTGTTTGAGAAAGTTGACATCATAAACCCGATGATATTATGCAGATACATATCATGTGACGTGAAAAATATATCAAGTTTTAGAGTGTTATTTAAGGAGAAACTGTCCCTTCTGGGAAAGAGTTCCTTCTTCCTTCCTCCTGGTAAGCGCTATTGCAGTGCTTATTGGGGTAAATTGTAGAGGGATGGTAAAATACTTGCTATCCTTTTCTACACTTATGTATTGCAATGACTGTGTTGCATGGGCAGATAAAGAAATACTGTACAGATGCATGCAGAATTGGCATAACATCCAGCAGTACCAATGCTGCACACACATGCATATGAAACTGCAAGAAATAACTAATCTAATGCTATGTTAAAATTTAGCAAGTGAGCATTCATCGTAAACACTTTAAAGATGAAGAGGGAGAATATCAGTACATTTTACTAGACTCCACTAAAGAATATAAGGATTTAAATTCATAATAATTATATATTACATATTGTCCCAACACTGGTTTGGTGCCCTATATTTTTCTATAAAAAAAGTTTCTATATAAAATGACATAGGTCAAACTGTTATGCACGGACCTATGGGCAGAGCCAGAGGATGAGTATGTACGTGATGCAAATATTATCATGTCTGCTGGGATAGAGCATGTGTCATTTCAATGCGAATGCATGCCGGGATAAAAGACTGCCAAGCAGAATGGACAATTAATGCTGAAATCTTCTGTAGCACTTACATATGGGTTTAAGCAGGGCTGGTGCAAGGATTATTGTTACACATGCCAAGATGTATTTTGCTGCCCCTCGCCCCCCCAAAAATGCATATTCACCCATGTGTCTCTTTACCCCCTTTGAATTTATTTCCTCCTTTTGTCGCTTACATACTCTTTAGTGTATCATATCCCAATGTTACCCCTTTGTGTCTCCTACAACCTCTCCTTGTGTGTTTTTTTCAATTTTTTTCTTTGTCTCTCACTTTCTTCCAGCCTTTTTTGTGTGTCCCTTACTTCCCCCAGTTCCTTTATGTGTCTCTTACTTTTTGTGTGTCTTTTACTCCTCCCAGTTCTTTGTATGTCTCTTTCTCCCCAGCACCTTTATGTGTGTCTTTTCCCCTTGCACATTTGTGTATGCCATTTATTCCTCCCAACCCTTTTGTCTCTTTCTCACTTCCCCATCCCCATCCCCTCCGTGTTTCTTATTCCCTCCCAGACCCTTTGTGTGTCTCTTTTTACCTATCTCTAGAACCTTGTATGTCTCTTTTTCCACTTTTGCAGCCTCCCTGTGCATCTTCCCCCGCAGCACCTTGTCACTTTTCTCCTAGCCCTTCCGTTCTCTGTCCCCCTGCCTCTCTCTTAGTCTCTTTCTTCCCCCAAGCCCTGTGTATGTCTTTTTCTCATCCCCATCCCCTCAGTGTGTCTCAGTCTCTCCATCAGCCACTCTGTGCAAATCTTTCTCTCTCCCAGACCCTCTGTGTGTCTCTTTCTCCCCCAGTCCCTTTGTGTGCATCTTCTTCCCCCTAGCCACCTTGTGTGTCTCTTTTTCCCCCAGCACTTCTGGAGTGTCTCTTTCTCCCCCAGGACCTGTGTATGTCTTTTTCTCATCCCCATCCCCTCAATGTGCCTCTGTCTCTCCACCAGCCACTCTGTGTGTCTCTTTTTCCCCCAGCCTCTCATACTTCTCTTTCTCTACCCTAGCCCCCCATGTGTCTCTTTACCTTCAGCCCCTCTGTGTTTCTCTCCCCCCCTAGCCTACATCTGTGCCTTCTTTGTGTGTCTCTTTTTCCCCCAGCACTTCTGGGTGTCTCTTTCTTCCCACAGCCCCTCCGTGTTTCTTTTCCCCCAGCACCTTTTCTCTTTCTCTCAGCCTTCCTGAGTGTCTCTTCCCCCGTCCTCTTTTGTGTCTTGTCCACTCTCTCCCTGTTGTGGTCTCTTGCACTCCTCCCTTATGGTCTCTTCTACTCCCCCCTTTGTGGTATTTCCCATCTTCTCGCCTCCTGTGCCTCCTTCCTTTCTCTTGTAGCATAGCCACGCGGACCACCACCTGCGCTGCCTTATATAGTTTATTGTGGATTTAATGTGGCATGCTTAATTACCAACCATAAGCTATTGAGCATATCACTCGTTATTTAGACAGCTATTGAGAACTTGAGGGATTTCACCCTAAACTGAATATAAGCATAGAATACCCACGAAGGTGTTTACATGAGATTGAAGGTCTAGAGACTAGGGATACCTTTACCATAGACCTCTGGCAACCCAAGAGAGGTGGATTGATGTGGTTACATCCCTATTACCTATCTCTCTGTATAGACCCTTCATTTTATTATTTATGTGTGCTTTTTTTCTCACAATTTAGCATATCTCTCACTATTCCTATTATGTTTTAGTTTTTGCTTCTGGAGGTCCACACTAGGCTCTGCCGTAGCCAGTGCTGTATATACTTCCATGAGAGCTTAAACACATAAAGGGGGAGATTGCTACCTCTTCAGTTAGTTCTCAAATTGCCAAATCCATATACGTTTGGAACTAGTGTGGTATGCTTTACTACTGGCTACCAATTATTGAGCGTCTCACTCAGGGCTGTTTGCCCTTTTATCAGGCTACACTGTTTAATTTGTCCTAGTACCTTTCAGAGTTACTAATAAAGTTATTTTGTTATTTATTACTAAGATATTTTCCTTTAAGATCTTATTGGAGTGGATTGGAAATTTAACCTTGTGGTCACTTTTTATTCAAGTGACACCTTTGGTTCTTTACGATGTGTGTATAGTGTGTATGCAGTGTGTGTGTGTGTGTGTGTATAGTGTGTATGCTGTGTGTGTGTGTAGGATGTGTGTGTGTATAGTGTGTATGCTGTGTGTGTAGTGCGTATGGTGTGTGTGTATAGTGTGTATGCAGTGTGTGCAGGGCCGCCATCATGGGGTGACAACCACGTATATCAGCGAAACTGCCGCCGGTGCATCTGCACCGGGGCCCACACGCTGATGGGGCCCATCAGGTGGCCCAAGCATTTATCTTCAGGGACCCGGTCAGCGCTGTAATAGCGTGACCGGGCCCCTTTAAAAAAAAAAAAAAATGCAGCCGGAAAGCAAGTGCTGCTGGGAGGAAGTGACGTCCTGTCACTTCCTCCCAGTTTACTCCACGCGGGAAGGCAGAGAGAAAGCATGAAGGCTGTGAGGAAAGGCAGCCAACTCACATCATCCCCAGCCACCCTCCTGCGACGAAATGGTAAGGCTGAAAATGAGGTGTGTGTATATATGTATGTGAGTATGTGTATGCCAGTGTATGTATGTATGCATGTATGTATGCCACTGTATGTATGTATGTGTGTATGCCAGTGTATGTATGTATGTATGCCAGTGTATGTATGTATGTATGTATGCCAGTGTATGTATGTATGTATACCAGTGTGTGTATATATGTATGTATACCAGTGTGTGTATGTATGTATACCAGTGTATGTATGTATGTATGTATGTATGCCAGTGTATATATGTATACCAGTGTATGTATGTATGTATGTATGCCAGTGTATGTATGTATGTATACCTGTGTGTGTATATATGTATGTATACCAGTGTGTGTATGTATGTATGTATGTATGTATGTATGTATGTATGCCAGTGTGTGTATGTATGTATGTATGTATGTTTGTATACCAGTGTATGTATGTATGTATGTATACCAGTGCATGTGTGTATGTATACCAGTGTATGTATGTATGTATGTATGTATACCAGTGTATGTATGTATGTATGTATGACAGTGTATGTGTGTATGAATGCCTGTGTTTGTATGCCTGTGTATGTATGTCACTGTATGTGTGTATGTATGCCAGTGTACGTATGTATGTATGCCAGTGTATGTGTGTATGTATGTATGTATACCAGTGTGTATGTATGTATACCAATGTGTGTATGTATGTATGTATGTATGTATACCAGTGTGTGTCTCTATGTATGTCAGTGGGTGTCTGTATGTATGCCAGTGTATGTGTGTATGTGTGTATGCCATTGTATGTGTGTATGTATGTATGTATGTCAGTGTATGTGTGTATGTATGTATTCCAGTGTATGTGTGTATGTATGTATACCAGTTTATGTGTGTGTGTGTGTATGTATGTCAGTGTGTGTATGTATGTATACCAGTGTGTGAATGTATGTATGTATGTATACCAGTGTGTGTATGTATGTATGTATGTATACCAGTGTATGTATGTATGAATGCCAGTGTATGTATGTATGTATGCCAGTGTATGTATGCCAGTGTATGTATGTATGTATGCCAGTGTATGTGTGTGTGTGTATGTGTGTGTGTATGTATGTATGCCAGTGTAGGTGTGTATGTATGTATGCCAGTGTATGTGTGTATGAATGCCTGTGTATGTATGCCAGTGTATGTGTGTATGTATGCCAGTGTATGTATGTATGTATGTATGCCAGTGTATGTGTGTATGTATGTATGTATACCAGTGTGTGTATGTATGCATGTATGTATGTATACCAGTGTGTGTCTATATGTATGCCAGTGTGTGTCTGTATGTATGTTAGTGCATGTGTGTATGTATGTATGCCATTGTATGTGTGTATGTATGTATGCCAGTGTATGTGTGTATGTATGTATACCAGTGTATGTGTGTGTATGTATGCCAGTGTATGTGTGTGTGGCGGAACCCGCCTCACCACCTGGCATTGGAGAGGCCTGGCTGCCCGCCTCCTTCCTGCTGACTATGGCCCCTGGTAAAGTTGTACTTTTGAATGCAATATTTGGGCATATTGTATTTTATTGTGCGGCTACTGGCTCTTTAAGCACAGTGAATGGACTTACTGTAACTTTTTGGACACTTCCTCTTCCCCTCCCCCGGATCCATTGTTCTCCAGCAGGGTGTTCTCCCAGGGACACTGCCAAACCAGTGGGAACTGGTTTGCCAGGAAAAATCATGCTTGCAAGTAAAAAAAAAAGGATTTCGACCTAACCGTTAAACCCCTGAACCTATTCAAGTGAATTTTGGATATGTTTGTCCCCAAGTTATACTGGTTAAAATAATATAAGTTTTATGTATGTGCGATGTTAACTCACAGAGTTATAAAAATGTACAAAAAGTAACTTTTCAGCTTGGAGATAATTGAGTAGATACAGTAATTGACTCAATTATCTCCTAAGCAGAGGGGAGGAATATGCTGGGTGTGTTTCTATTTTCCCATTGTGTCTGATTGGCTGCTGTACTTGCATTGTATGTGTTGTAATGTGTTTATTGGTGGTTCTGCAAAACCCTGTGGGCAGTACTATGTTTTGTGGATTGTAATAAAAACCAGGCTGGGTGTGCCAGCACTGGAGTTCCTGTTTTAACCCTCAAAGTGAAGTGTCGTCTCATTATTGGGGGAAGGATTTATTGTATGCTGTTCCAGTTTGACTGCTAGGAGAGTAAACCTATTCGTATGGTTCCTATTCAACTGTCTACAGCATTCATATGCTTGAGAGAAGGTAAACGCTTCTCTGGTTCGGTGATTGTGGTGTCTGCTGCAGTGCTTGGAGTCCTCAGGAAGCGCTAGGAGCATCTTTCAACGGAGGTACCCAGTCGGGGTGCCAGGCGATCCGTTACAGTGTGTATGTATGCCAGTGTATGTGTGTGTGTATGTATCTATACCAGTGTGTGTATGTATCTATACCAGTGTGTGTGTGTATGTATTTATGTATACCAGTGTGTGTCTATATGTATGCCAGTGTGTGTCTGTATGTATGTCAGTGCATGTGTGTATGTATGTATGCCATTGTATGTGTGTATGTATGTATGCCAGTGTATGTGTGTATGTATGTATACCAGTGTATGTATGTATACCAGTGTATGTGTGTGTATATGTATGCCAGTGTATGTGTGTGTGTATGTATGGCAGTGTATGTGTGTATGTATGTATGTATGATAACCAGTGTGTGTATGTATGTATGTATACCAGTGTGTGTGTGTATGTATGTATGTATGTATACCAGTGTATGTGTGTGTGTGTATGTATGCCAGTGTATGTGTGTATGTATGCCAGTGTATGTGTGTGTATGTATGTATACCAGTGTGTGTATGTATATATACCAGTGTGTGTATGTATGTATGTATACCAGTGTGTATCTGTATGTATGCCATTGTATGTGTGTATGTATGCCAGTGTATGTGTGTATGTATGTATGTATGCCAGTGTATGTATGCATACCAGTGTGTGTATGTATGCATACCAGTGTGTGTATGTATGTATACCAGTGTGTGTGTGTATGTATGCCAGTGTATGTATGTATGCCAATGTATGTATGTATGCCAGTGTATGTGTGTATGTATGTATGCCGGTGTATGTGTGTATGTATGAATACCAGTGTGTGTCTGTATGTATACCAGTGTGTGTCTGTATGTATGTATGTATGCCAGTGTGTGTCTGTATATATGTATGCCAGTATGTGTATGTATGTATGTATATATGTATATATCATTATGCAGTATGTGTATGTATGTATGTTTGTCAGTACATGTCTGCATGTATATGTGTGTGTGTGTGTGTGTCAGTATCTCCCTATGCATGTGTGTATGTCTGTTTCAGTATTTGTATCTGTTAGTGTGTGTATTCCTGTGGGCGGGATTTGGAGGTGGGCCCTGTGGGCAGGCTTGAAGGGGAGCCCAGACCTTGAGCTGTGTTAGGGTCCCCAAAATTTCTGATGGCGGCCCTGAGTGTGTGTGTGTGTATAGTGAGCAGTGTGTATTGTTTGTGTGTGTGTGTTCCTTCGCTTGCGTCCAGGGAGGGGGGGGGTGCACACTACATTCCCTTGTGGTCCGGTGGCACAGTATGGTTGCCCAGTGAAGAGGGGCCCAGGAGTCTCCACATCGAGCAGCAGCATGTCCTCTGTTCTCACGATCCGCGAGAGCATTGTCGCAGGTTGCCAAAGCAAAGTGTGTCAGCGAGAACAGAGGACATGCTGCTGCTCGATGTGGAGACTCCTGCAAGCGGCATGACAATGTGCCCCGGACACCCCCCTAATGTATGGCACCTGGGGCGGACTGCCACCTTCACCACCCCACTTAGTACGCCACTGCTGTGATGGCTGAAGCCCGCAATCAAAGGGGAACTATAGTTATATTTTTATTTATTTTGTATCCGAGGCTGACTGAGCACAGCCATAGTATGCTACATATCATAATTTAACCCCTGCAGTGCTGCATGTAGAAGAAAACACATGCGTAAGGCACATAGGAAGAAATTACCACATGTAACTTTGAAAGCTGACCTCAAAGTTTAAAAACATTACAACAAATGTTTGCAGATATTGGTGATGAAATGGGCAGATGGAAAGTTCAAACTGCATCATGTCAAATACTTTGGTTTATCTAAATTTGTAAATATAAAACGTGTATATGTCTAGTGAATAGAATTTTTGGTATTTTTGTTTGAATCAGTGGTGCACTCCCTTTGCACATATTTAAATGAAAAAGATAAGATGGTAATATTCTCAAAACTAATTTGACAGTGAAGGTGTCATAAATAATAAGTTCTGAGAAATTTTAAAGTAGGTTAAAAAGAGGTCAGTTTCTCTAATTTGTTGAATCTGATTCTGTAATTACTGTCTGGGGCGTAAGACACTTATTACAAAGGCTAGACACTCATATTTAGTGGTCTTTCAATGCAGCACCTTTTAATATGTTTTATAATGCTATATTTATTGAATGAATCAATCTATCGTTGATTATCTTTTGTGTACGTGTCAAAAAATTTGTGTATGTGTCAAAAATATTTTTAGCTGCATCACCTGTTTTGCACAGCTGATCTAGTGGCATGTGACCATCCTTATGTACTGCTGAGTTGTGCTTGAAAAAAATATTAAGGCTCTTCTTTTCACTCATATGAACTAACATGGCTCCAATTTGACCACAGACCTCAATGTGGGGTTTATTTACTATTAAATTGCTGTGAATTGAAAACAAAATTGCAAAATGTAGTTAAAATAACCCATATAGCTAAGTTGGTTATTTTGTTCAAGTTGCACATTGTTGCCGATATGTTAATACATAGCAATTTGATGTTTTGTGAATAAAACCCTATATGTGAAATACAAGGGCTTATGTCCGCCATCAGTACAAGTAATGACAGCCAGTACTCTTGAGCAATAGGGCCTGCATGGAGCAAACCACTTTGCGAAACTCCAGCAGACCTTGCACCTTGCAGATACTGCACTGACCCCTGTCTTTACTTTAGAAGGAGACCCCCCTCTTTACTCTGGGAAAACGTGATGTGAAATCATAAAGGGAGAACTGCAAGGATGGTTATCAGTGCACCCCGTAACCCTGTTCCAGCCAAAGTCATCTAAAAGCCTGATCCACATTGTATCTTTGAAAGCAGGGTATTTCTGTGAGTGTGTATTTTTGTCTGGTATGTGGGTATCTGAGAGTGTGCATTCTGAAAACTCTTTACACAGAACATAGGTATCAGTAGAAAGACTAACAATCCCAATCAGAAATGCTTACAGGGATACTATAAGTGCCAGGAATACAAAGTGGTATTCCAGGCACTATAGCTCCCCCACTCAGTGAATAAAGGGTTTAAAACCCTTTATTTACTTGCCTTAACCCCACACCATTGTCCCTCGGCGCTAGGTCGTGGCCCCGCCTCTTCCTCTGTCCCGCAACAAGTGGGTGCCATTGTGCATGCGTAGCAAATGACGCACGCATGTTAGACCTCCTCATAGCATTAAAAGCATTGAATCAATGCTTTCCTATGGGGGAAAAAATCTAATGCTGGATGTCCTTATTTAGAGAGTGAGGACGTTTAGCATCAGCTACCGGACCAAAGGTCCATTTGGATCCAGGAAGTTCTCTAGTGGTTGTTTAACATTTTACAAATTTACAAGAAGAACCACATTAACTGAGAGAAAGATCCTGAGATTCAAAGGGGTGTATAGAGTACAATTTTCCATTGACCATTTTCTCTGGCTAACAACATAAAAGTTTACGTGGACATTTTTGAAGGTACCATTGAGTGATCACATTTTCTGTTCTTCATGGTTGTTAAAGTCTTACTGCAGTCTTGATTTTTTTTAAATGGATATATGTGTAAGAGATATTTTAAGCATTCGTATACTAAAGTTTCAGTTTATTATGTATTGTAAAAGAAGATATTTTTAAAATATAAATGTGATTCAGAAACTACACCTAAGATAAAGACGAATAAAATATAAACAATATAATTATTTTTAATAAGCAGACACAGCATGAGGATTTTTTTTTGCAGTGAAATGATGTGTCATGGCAAATGTTTTTTCATGGAAAACAGCTGATACACACCATTAATTATAGGAACAATATCATACAGTATTTTATCTTGAAATATCAGAGGATTTTCCAAGTGATTGCCACCTAATAATACTGGCACTGTTGGAAATGTCATTTATTATTTTTAACGTGAGTGGGTGGCAATTAGCAATTAAACAATTTTTTATATATTTGCATCATGCCATCTGCACCTACATAGATAAATCATGTGTAATAATTAGATAATGAGCAATGAGACTGCAGAAAATCTTGCAATCCATCTAATTTGGACAACAATTTCCATCCTGCTCAGCCATCCGTAATCAGAATTGCAGCCTGAAATAGCTGCATTCGCTGAATTTTGATATCTGTGGTTAAAAGAAAACAAAAACAAACAAACAAACAAAACAAAACACAGTATGTGGAGCAATTATAATGCAATTTAGAGTGAAAATAGCCTACCAAATTAAAAACTTGATTTATTTCTTTGTTATTTGTATTTAATACCATATTTAAAATTTTATATTATTTCAGGACATGTCAAATAAATGTTCTTTTGAACTGCAGAACTAATCATTAAAAAGAAAATAGGCAGATTGACAGAATGTCATGATATCCATGGTTAAGTATGAAAAAAAAGATTTTGGTGCAAATATATTGCTATTTAAGTTTCCAGGAGTTTCATTACTCTACTAAATAAAATGCTGTAGTTTTGATTTTTTTTTTCATTTTTAAGTGAATGTAAAAAATAATAATAATATAATTGTTATATCATTGCAGGAAATGCGGAATTGCATGTTCTTTTGAATTTTAGAAATACCCTTGTTTTGTATGAAAAATAACAGTTCTCATAGAACTGTTCTAGCTAAATACTTTAAATACAATAACAATGTAAGCTACCAAGATTAGCTTTGGCCCTTCAACTTCCATTTGTTTAAGAGAGGCTTGAATAGTCTTGACAGTTTGCATTTCTAAACAAAAGTTTACGAGTAAAAGCATCATCTATATCCAATTATTTAGTGATTTTCTCTTAACACGCATTTTTTTTTTCCCTTTTGGGTAATGCAAGATGTGATGTCCTTGCTGAGATATAATGAAAAAGAAGCAGGGCTCTGAGGAAATAAAACCATGAGCTTGTGCATTCAGCTGGTTAAGTGCGTCAAATATGCCTTTAATCAAGGAAATATTTCAATGTATCATAATCTGCCTGGCTCAGGTGAGGATTCAGTACTTGATTGGTGCAATGAAAAAAAATAAGATGCCGATTTTTAAAAATGGCATAAAGCCAATGGTACAGTATCACTGTGGTTGTCGTAAGTAGCATAAGGAGCACCAGTGAAGAACTGTGATATGTTTTGTATAAATAGATGGGCAGATAGACAGACAGATAGACAAAGCTTCTAGGGGTTTTTATTGCAAAACAGTCAAGAGAGTATCATTTTGAAATATGCAGATATATTCATTAAAATTCTAAATATTTATGGAAAAAGGTTCAATTACAAGCTCTATGAAGAATCATGTGACCTCATGGGATCTTCTATCTAGGCATCTAGGAGAGTACAAAATGACAGGGCACCTTGTGACTTTATTAACAAGGAACAGAAGACTTGAAAATTGTAGTGAGGATGTAGTACCTTTGGCAAATACTCATCAAATCCCACTATCCCCTTATTATGAATATTTGTATAAATGCAAAGACCCTGCAAGTGGCATTGTCACATTAAGTTCAAACAGATGTTAGAGTCACCTTGTATATGTAGTCCATTCATGAGACCCAGAGACATTATTAGAACAAAAACAAAGAATTCATATCTATTAGACTATACAGTGGTATAGAGAATACCTAGGAAATAAGACAAATACAAGATAAACTGGTCCCAGGTAACTCTGTAATATGATTTAGCATTCTGGAATATATATATATATATATATATATAAAATCACAAAATGCCCTGTATTTGAATTTGGAGACCAGTTATTAGGATGTGGCTAATTGGAGTCACAAGATATCTAGAGATGTTCATTTGATTGGCCACTGCTGATCACGGACAAGGCAGTCCAGACAAAGCAGAAAAGTTGGTGTTTTATCATTGCTGCAGAACCAAGTCCTGCAACTATGAAATGTGATTTTAGGGACAGCTATTTAAAAAACAAATTGAAAGTCCCTTTGAAATCATTTTGAATTATTGATAATTCTTAATTTTCAGTGGATAACCATGTGGTTTTATGTGGGTTTTTTTTTTTCATCCAAATGGCAATACTATTTTTATTCACCTGTGTTTTGTAGGAACTTTAAAGTAAATAAAAAAAAAAATACAAACTGATAATCTCAGCATAATGTTGTTGAAAGTTGATTTATTTTTGATATACAAAATGAGCGACATTTCACGTTAGTCAACGTAATTAAATTTTTATTTTTTTTAATTAATATTTATTAGAATATTTGTCTATAGAATATACTATTCAAAAAGTTATTTGCTTACCAAGCAAAATCAGTTTTAGAAATATTCACCCATCATGGGGGTATTGAAATAATAACATTAATAATTATTAAAAAAATATTATTAAAACTTAATAGAAAAAAATTAAAAACCACAATACAAAATCCAGTCCAAAATAGCTGTAACATTTCTCTACTAGACTATTTTATCATGCATTTAGTAATTTGTTTTGTAATACACAATTCACTGTTTAGTAAATAAACCCTTTAGTGTACTTTTCACTCCCCTCCTTTAAACTAGCATTACATGTCACCTTATGCTAATCATGGACCACAATTATCAACATATAACTTTTGTAAGTATACCTAATTCATTAATACATATTTTTTATTTGCCTGTTTTACATGCTTAATTATAATTTTTTAAAAGTATAACTAATTAGAAAATAAGGACAATACGTTATTTAATTTCAGAATATAAGACTGGTTGGTGGACTGGTTTGAGACAGAATGAATAAATTACTAAAACACTGCATTATGTATACTGAGCAATAAAACCAGAGCATTTCCTGTGAAGCATATACAATTAATTGCATTATATTAATTTAATTTATTGGAAATTATTCAATTTAATTATTGTTTAAAAAGAAAAAAAAAAAATTTTATTTCCACAAAAATCAAAAGGACAAATATAGTCTGGTTACAGAAAATAAAATATTGTTTTTTAAATAATTCAGATATGTCTAAACTAGAGCTGCTTTCTAACGGAAAAATATGTACATATTTGACATTGTTAGTGTTCTATTAAAATCACATCTGAGTCAACTGCAGCATCAATCTTTCTTAATAAGGAATGGAAGAAAGGACATTATTGAAATAAATGAAGAATTTCATAAAAAGAAATATGGCCAGGACTCAACTGGGTTTCATTCCAACAAACCACAAAGTAACTTACACCAGTCCTGCTGACTGAAAAAGAAATGTTATGTTTCTCCTGTGCCACTGTTGCCAAGACACTAATCAACTAAAGGCTAGCTGATAGAAAACAGCAGGATGACAGTAGGTTGGAAACTTGAGCAGCTCGGAAAAGTAGGTTGACTTTTTATTTTCTAGTCACACATTTTAACAGCCTACTGTAATAGCTAATCATGCCGAAAAAAAATGAGGCAAAGATCTGGTCTTCATACTTATAATAAGCCTGGCTGAATTGATATCCTACAGTGATAAAGAGCTTAGAAACATATGGGAAATGTTGCAAGATTTGATCTTAAAATAATCAGCATTCTTTAACACGCCTCTCAAGCACCGCGTAAATGTACTAAGGAAAGAATTGCCCAATTATGGGCACAAGCATTCTGTGTATGCTTATTTATAGCATTACACACACTGAACATTTTTACAGAAGACAAAATATTGGAATTAGTATAATTATACAGCAATACATTACATGTAAAAGTTTGAAGATAATGTTTTGAAATAAAATACTTTTTACAGACAAATCTGCAATCAAAATACTTGCTAAAGGACATAAAAAAATAGTAAGGACAGAATGCCATCTGTAGATATTGAGATATGATAGCAGAGTGCCTTTATACAGATTTAGAATGTTGGCAGGGCTGGTGCAAGAGCGTTTGGCTACACGTGCAATGATGCTTTTTGCCTCCCACCGCCCCATGAAAGAAGCCTATATTTTATTTACACTGAGGCACCACATACAAACACAAACACAAACATGGTTATTGACTAAACACAGACATTTTCACAAATTAGTTCCAAATGGCAAAACTGAGGTTGTTGATCTGGGGCATTCTCCAACTCAGCTATAGTCACAGCTTGGCTAATTTTGCCTCTGTTTTTCCAGAGTTTTTCCCCAGTTTTGTGAATAATCATGAAAGTTTACTTCATTGGAAATTTTTGATACTCATCTATGCCACACAATACTGTAAGTTAATCCGTTGGTGCTATATAAATGGCAATAATAATAATAATAATAATACGTTATATTGCTCTGCGATTTTCTCATTTACATTGCTCATTGAGATGTTTTTTGTTGTGTACTAAAACTATGATAAATAAACTTAGCATGAAAATTAAGGGTATGTGTGGTGTGTATGAGTGCATCACAAAGAGCCACAATAAAACTCACAGTAATGTGCCTAGTAGTATATCACAGAGCTCCACAGATATGAAAACGCATAGTACTGTGCATTTTGTGTGACATTATCACAAAGCTCTACTGTAATAAACCTCCCAATAATGTGATGTAAAATAATGTGTGTTGGCTGTGTGTGAAATATGTGAAATTTTAGTATTGGCTGTGTGTGATTTGTGTTTTGGCTGTGTGTGGTGTGTGAGTTGGTTATGTGTGTGGTGGGTATTTTTTGTCCTTTAATAATATTAAAAATACTAAAAATTTTGTCCCCTCTCCTACATAACTTTCTTGCAGAAATGGGGCTAAAATCCTCTGGTGGTCCAGTGGGAGTTAATAATTATTCTTTAGTGCAAGATTGGACTGCACTTGTGATTGCCCTTTCCAGTCTGGAGCTTAGTGATGAGTCAGAGCGCAAGCTGGGAATCATGTCAGTTGAGCTCAGGGCCGGACTACTGATACAAGCAGCCCTGGAAAAAAATCTATGCCAGCCCCATAAGTCATTGTGCTATGTAGGGTGTTATATATATATATATATATATATATATATATATATATATGCAATTGAAATAGTTGGCTGCACTCTCGGATTTCCTGAAAATGTAACTTTTATTGAAATATTTAAGAGAAGATCAATGTTTCAGTTCCTCTTGTGGACTTTCGTCATGATCCTGATGCAAGTCCACAAGAGGGACTGAAACGTTGATCTTCTCTTAAATATTTCAATAAAAGTAAAATTTTAAGGAAATCCGAGAGTGCAGCCAACTATTTCAATTGCCTATAGGCTCATTGATAGACAATGACACACACAGACAAGGTTACTGGCACACACACAACTTTAGTACAGACAAACTCTGATACACACATACAAGCTTACTATAGACAAGCTCACTGTCACACACACACGCTCACTACAGACAAGCTCACTGATGCGCACACACTCTCCCTACAGACAAGCCCATTGACACACACGCTCCCTACAGAAGAGCTCACTAACACACAGATTCACTACAGACAAGCTCACTGACACACACGCTCACTACAGACAAGCTCACTGACACACACGCTCACTACAGACAAGCTCACTGACACACACGCTCATTACAGACAAGAGCTCACTAACACACATACAAGCTCACTCACTAGCAGGCACACACACACACACAAACTCACTAGCAGGCACACACACACAGAGGCTCCCTCACTAGCAGGTGCGCTCACACACAGAGGCAGACAGTCACTGACACCGAGGCAAACATCCACACATACAGAGACAGGCAGACAGCCACACACACACAGGCAGACAGTCACACACACACAGGCAGACAGCCACATACACAGGTAGACAGCCACACACACACAGGCAGACAGTCACACACACACAGTCACAGTCACACGTCACACACACGCAGTCACACACACACAGTCACACACACACAGTCACACACACAGACAGTCACACAGACAGTCCACACACACAGTCACACACACACACACACACACACACACGCAGACAGTCAAACAGACAGTCACACACATAGTCACACACAGACAGTCACACACAGACAGTCACACACACAGGCAGACAGACACACACCACACCGGCACACTGACACACACAGCCCACACACACAGTCACACAGAAACACAGACAGGCACACACACACAGCAGACAGACACACAGACAGTCACACACACAGACAGTCACACACACAGACACACACACACACACATCACACTCACACACACAGACAGCACACACACACAGTCACACACCACAGGCAGTCACACACAGACAGTCACACACACAGACAGACACACACACACAGACAGTCACACAGACACACACACAGTCACACAGACAGTCACACACAGGTCACACACAGTCACACACACAGACAGTCACACACACAGACAGTCACACACACAGTCACACACTCACAGGCAGTCACACACAGACAGTCACACACACAGACAATCACACACACACACAGACAGTCACAGACACACAGTCACACACTCACAGGCAGTCACACACAGACACACTGACCTCCTTCTTACCTTCAGATCCCTTGGAGTTCCTGGAGACTGGTTGTTGGGGAAGCAGGGACTCCTTCCTGCTTCCCATGCTGCAGTCAGCCAGGGCCCCGATGCACAGCAAGGCCCACCCCCGCCGCACGCTAAGCTCCGCCCCGTCGCACGTAAGCTCCGCCCTGCCACAATTTTTTTTTTTTTTTTATGATCCCGGCCGGCCATGTGTGAGCTGTGCCGGCCACCTGGCTCCCCCTGCTCCCATGGGGCTCTGTGCGGCCGCACAGCTCACACATAGCCGGCCGGGATCACAGGAGCTGTCAGCCCAATGATTAGGGCTGTCAGACCGGCCCCAGGTGCCGCAGCCCACCGGGAAATTTCCCGGTATCCCGGTGGGCCAGTCCGGCCCTGGTTGAGCTATTACTCCGTCACTAAGTGCCGTAACTGCAAAAGAGCAAATACAGTAGAGACCATAGTCTCCCTCAGGAACCACTTTCTAACGGCAGTGCATCATGGGATTTCTGGGGGTGTCCCTAGCCTGCCTCGTCATAGAGGCAGGCTAGGGTCATCCAAGCAGAGCTTGCCCCTATAATAATATTTACTATTACTATGTTCCCCATTTGTCTGGTCAGGTCAGGTCAATATTAGTAATATTGACTCTGATCAGTGTGGATCTCCCTCTCTTCACTTGTGTTTTAGTGAAAGAGAGAGAAAGAGAGATCTGTATTTAGGTAGAGAGATTTAGGTAGTTTTAGGTAGGGATTTGTACAATTGTGAGCCATTAACCACTATCTTGCCAGTGATCATTATAAATCACTGGCTTTTGCACAGCAACACTTTTTTGCTGCCTGTGCATTTTTTTAGGGGTTCATTTGCTGTGATTTTTTTTTTGTGAGACCCAAAAGCTCTTTTCAGAGCTATTAACCCCTTTCCTGACAGTGATCACTGTATAGATTACCTGCTCTTGCGCAGCAACACTTATTTTGCTGTCTGTGCATTTTTTTAGGGGTTATTTTTTTTTTGTGACACATTACTAAATAAAGTGATTGTGATCATGTCACAGAGGTTGTATAGCGCTGAGGAGGCGTACGCCATCCTTGCGTTAGAGTCTTTTACTGTCCTGATTGCCCTGTACAGCCTGGACTCTGCATTGGGAACTGCTTCAAGCAATATCACACACTAGTCCGTTTGTAAAAAAAATTCTTACGTTTGCCATTCAGTTTTTTTTGTTTTTTGGTTACATTTACTGTTCCTGAGTTTGTTTGTTTGTTTTTACATTTACTGCGCCAGACTATTTTTATTATAAAGATCAACCTATGCATTGGGGCATGAGTGTACTCAGGAGGCCTTGCAGAAAACAACCTGGAGTGTTTTCTTGCAATAACGGACAACAGGCTCCCCTAAATCTCACACAAATTTGTGTGTAAAATTGAAAATTAAAAAATTACCACCACACATTTTCTTGCTAAAACGGGCTAAAACGGTTTCATCAACTTTTCGAATATATGCACGTTCATGGCAAGAAAATAAATTGGGATATGTAAAAAGGCCCCCAAAAAGAAGATAGACAAAGAAGATATGTTGTCAAGCGGTAGCATTGTCCCACCTGTCATGTGGCTGCGCTGGTACAGGTGATGCTGAAGCTGCTCCCTAATGGAGACAGTCAGAGCATAACTGTTTTTCTTATACTGCTTTCTCATTAGAACCAAAACCTGGTGTAGATTTAGACAATACCTTGCAACTTCCTATTGTAAGCTATGCCACAATGTCCTGTGGTTGTGCAGCTATAGGTGAATCTGAAGAGGTTACCTTCTGAAGACAGGCAATGCATAACAGTTTTCCTACCATTGCATTTGGTAACCCATGTGTATATGCTACCATGATTAGCAAGGAAATATATATACATATGCACAACGGAGAACTGAGTACAATTGGGATAATGCATTTGTGAGAGGATCATAGACTATGTGGAAAGAAAAGTCTATGTTTCATATTGAAAAATAATCTTGTTTGTCCATTCATTCAAATTCCGAATGGTACAATGAAATAATGAAGAATCAGGGAGCTATATTTACTAAACAGGTCTCTAATGTGGGACCCTTAAATATGACAATACTAATTCTCTTTAGGGATTTATCTACTTAACAGCTGAAAGATCAAACTTAAGAAAAACCTTTTTCTTAATTTAGCTTTTTCAACTGCTTAGTAGATAGCTCCCTTATTTGGTATACGTATGATCCTTATGGAATCCTTATACGAGATACAATATTGCCATATTTAAGGATACCAAAATAGGCAAAGTTTAGAAATTCCAAACTAAAAATATTGGATGAACTTCAGTTCGAATGAAACAACATTTATTTTCATTGGAATTTATTCAGACGAACTGAAAATGTCCACAGTGCAGTCTAGTGCACCGTTTCCCAAACCAGTCCTCAATCAACAGTCCTCAATCAACCCATCAACAGTCCAGCTTTTGTCAGTATCTCCAATGGGATAAAACATACATAAATTCTAGATTGTTGGTGGGCCATGAGGACTGGTTTGGAAACTCTGGTCTAGTGGATAGCCATTATTAATTTCCACACAAGATCAGTATGCAGTGCAGTATACAGTTTGAAATTATAATTTGACTGTAACAATATAGAAATTACATGGCAGATCATGAGTAGATATATATTATAGTCTTACTCAAAATGTTAACATTTCTTTAAATACTCCAGGCACCATGATGACTTCATGACTATTTCAATTAATCGAAATGGTCGTGGTGCCTGAGGTGTATAGGTGCAGTGTTTCGTTTTGAGTAATGCAAGATAATTGGTGTTTTATTAGCCAGCCCACAACTAGAATTCCGGGTTGGCTAATGCCAATTCTGTGCAAAGTTTGATGCACAGAATCTAATTCATTGTCTGAAAGCAATCAACTGATTATCTCACCAGTGAACTCACAAGTGAATAAATGGCAGGATTAGTATCAGGCTTCTAAAGATTTGCAGAAGAAGGATGTTATAAAACAGAAGAGACCCAATGCCTGGCAGTACAAGGTGAGAGGGCAAACTGTTGTCCCATTACCGGGGAACGACACTAGGGTAGTCCTGCCATCATAACCACTACAATGGGCTGTAGTGGTTATGATGGTTGGAGTAACCCTTTAACTTACTCTTAATAAAATGACTTTATTTAGAGCTCAACAATAACCCTTGACATGTGCTATCACCATTTACTCTCTATTTTAATCATAATCATTGTTTTCAGGTCCACATTTAAAGATGGTGTATAGAAAGTGTTAATATCTAACATATGTACAACTTCTCACCTTCAGCATTTTACTCCATGGATAACCTTGTCAATTCTTCTTACAACAGAATATAGGTTACTTTATTAATATCTTATAATGTAACATACCCATTACTGTTCAGCTGTCAGAGCTGATTTTTGGCATCCATTTCAGATTCTAGTAATCTCATTCAGTCTAAATGAAAGTGAAATGTTCCACGGCAATGTGAAGATACTAGGATACTTTGGAATAAGAATGTTCTTATCTACCAAGCACAGAATTTAACCAGCTTTAGAAGATTCAGGAACATAAAATTGCAAGTTCATATCTTTAAACAAATATCGGGCAATGAAATTTGAACAACCATTGTTTTTCCGAAAATACCAAATCACCTTCCACAGATATCTGCTGTATATTGCTGTAGGGAAATAATAAAACCTGAACACTATGCCAAAGAGATGCACCGTTCTTTAGCACTTCAACACTCTGACCACCTAAAGGTGGGTAAAGACCAGTGATGTGATGCGATCCTGTATGGAAAAGGGGGCGGTTTGCCCAAATTAGTGTCAGGTCAACCTGGTGTAAATGCAGACCAAGTTGCCTGATATTCATATAAGGCCAGCCCTGCCGGACCTGCAGGGACCACTATGTCAGTGCTCTTCGTGGGGTTCTAGTGCCATAAATATAGCGCAATCATGTCTAATGATGTGCTCACACTATGCTTGTTGGGGACAGTACCCTGGCAGGACATCAGGTGAGTCGCGATAACAAGACAGGACCTGAATATTGGCGGTTGAGAGCCCTGTTGAATAATGTGTTATTTTTTTAATATTTTTTTTAAATTACAGATTTTAATAGGAATAGACACTTTTATAAATTGACCTTGTTACATCCCCCTGGCTGTCAATAAGATAATCAGTCTTGTTACATCTTGGTTGTTCAGCTCAGTAGAGTTGAGCTAAAAAATCAGGAATTGCCCAGATTGCCTGCAATGCAAAGATTTCTCAATGATCTGCATTAGAAAGTCTGTGATTGGACAGCCACAAAAAGTCTGGGTGAGGTTAGAAGGGAACAGCTTGCAAAAGCTACAGACAAGAGATCTGCAGCTTTTGCAAAATGTCATTAGATATAACCTGGACATTAGCCTTCTAGCAGGGGCAGGGGGTGGGAGGATGATCCACCCAAGGTGACAGGCAGGAATGGTTGCACAAAGCAAGTGTTTGCTCTGCAGTTCCAGTAGCAGACCTCACGTGCGGCAGGGCTGCTACTGAGATTACTCTGTGATTTCACTGCACAGCAATCTCTCCCCACTCTGTACTAATGTGGGGAGCTGGGATATAACATCATTCCATTGCCGACATTAGCACAGAGCTGTAGGAGCTGTGCAATCAGTGCACAAGTGATCCCAGCAGCAAGTCACTGGATACCAGGGGTAAACATCCAACGGAAAAATTGAATGTGTGAGTGTATGAATTTAACTTTGTGTGTCTATGACATGTATGTATAGGAATGTGGGAATGTGTGTGTGTGTTTATGAATATGAGTATGTGTATATGAGTGTGAGTGTGTGTGTGTTTATATGAATGTTTGTGTATAGTTAAATGAATGTCAGTGTGTTTGTGAGTTTATATTTGTGTTATTTCTTTGTATCTTAAAGGGACATAAGGAACACCAAAACAACTTTATCTTCATGAAGCAATTTTGGTGTATAGTCAATGCCTTTGAAGTCTTACTGCTCTAATCTCTGCCATTTAGGAGTTAAATTACTGGTGTTTCTGTTTATGCAGCCCTGGTAACACTTATCCTAGGTGTGACTTACACAGCCTGCATGAAATAAAAAGTTTCATTTTCAGTCAGATAGTAGCTTACTTTAAAAGGTGCCATCCTGCGCTCTAAATTGTACTTTAATCACATACAGGAGGCTCCTGCAGGTTCTAGCAAGCCATTAACAGAGCAGGAGATAGAAAATTCTAAGTTAAACACAGTTTGCAGTAAAGAAAGTTTAAACATTAAAGACTCATTACAGGAAGTGTTTGGAATGCCTAGCAAGTCACATGCAGAGAGGTGTTAATAGGGCTGCATAAACAAAGTGATTTAACACCTAAATGGCAGAGAATTGAGCAGCGAGACTGCAGAGGCATGATCTATACACCAAAACGTCTTCATTAAGCTAAAGTTGTTGGAATGCGCATCCTCCAAATAAGGTCTTTTAGCATTGTGTCGCTTTAACCCCTTAGTGACCATAGACGTATCAGGTACGTCCGACAAAAAAACGGTCCTTAACCCCTTAGTGACCAGACCGTTTTTCAATATATATTTGTCAGGAATCCCTGAATAGCCCTTCACATGTTATATTTTTTAAAAGAAGACAACCTAAGGTATTAAACGTAGGGTATTTTGACTCTTTTTTGCTCTTTTTATGCAACCATTTTACCATCAATCTATACAAAAAAATTAAAAAATAAAATAATTGGTGATTTTTTTGACACATAGCAATTTAAGAATACATGTAAGGAGAACTTTAAGGGTTACTGCCAAAGAACACCCCAATATGTGTTCAGCAAAATCTCCTGAGTACAGTGATACCCCCATGTATAGGTGTATCGGGTTCTCTGGGGGCTAAAAGACCTTATTTGGAGGATGCGCATTCCAGTTTTCCAACTTGGAATTTTCTCAGCTGGTCATCATGGGACATTTTTGAAGCTGGCCAATGTAATTTACCCCTATCAAACCATATATTTTGAAAAGTAGACACCCTAGAGTATTTCAAATGGTAGTATTTGTGTGTCAAAAAAATCACCAATTATTTTTTTTTTTTAATTTGGCATAGATTGGTGGTAAAATGATTACATAAAAAGAGAACAAAAAGATTCAAAAATACCCCAAGTTTAATACCTTAGGTTGTCTTCTTTTAGAAAATATATAAATGTGAAGGGTTATTCAGGGATTCCTGACAGATATCAGTGTTACAATGTAGCTTGCGTTCATTTTGAAAAGAAATGGTTTGGAAATAGCATACTTATAGCCCTATAATTTTCCAAAAAAAGCTTAGAACATGTTAACATTGGGTATTTCTAAACTCAGGACAACATTTAGAAACTATTAAACACAGCATTTTTTTGGCAGTTGTAGATGCGTTACAGATTTTGGAGGTCAAAGTTCCAAAAAGTGTGTTTTTTTTTAAATCTTTTCATCATATTTTATAATTATTTTTATAGTATATTATATGATATGAGGAAAATTATGGTATTTTTAGAAAAGTCATTTATTGGCGAGAGAAACGGTATATAATATGTGTGGGTACAGTAAATGAGTAAGAGGAAAATTACAGCTATGGTCCTTAACGGTAAGAAAATTGAAAAACGGTCTGGTCACTAAGGGGTTAATAATTATGTTACCCCTTTTGCCACTTGCCTTTATTTAGACTCATTATCTTTTATTATCTGCAAGATCTCAATATCTGGCACCTCTATTTTATTCTCCTCTGTTCAAAATATGTGCAGTTTGTCCTTATTCATTTTTTTTTTCTAAAATGGATAAAAACAAATACATAGAAATTGAGGAGTTAAACAGGGTTGTTTGAAAAATAAAAACATTCAATGTGACAGGAATGCTTTAGATCTCTTTTGCTGTTTCCAGAGAGTCAGATTGTATGCTCGCTTGAGCAAGGTCCTCATCAACCTATTGCTCCTGTAACATTTTGTAATTGTCTCCGTTATTGTTACATTTTCCCCTTTATAATACTGTAAAGCGCTGTGCAGTAAGTTTGTGCTATAAACAATAAACTGCACAAGCACGGAGAGTATGGCCCAATTCAAGTCTTTTATGAGCATAAGCTAGATCTAGGACTTGTACTAAACAGACTACTAGATTACTTTTTTTCACAAGGTCTGTTCCTGATGTCTCTTTAAAGTATGTGTTTGTGTTGCTGAGTTGCCTCCTCAGGCTAATAAGACTCAAGTTCGAGTACTGACCCTCAAGTTGGAGTACTACCTGTCAAGCATCAAGGGAACAGATGCAGGCCTGTACAGAGCTTGTTGTCATGCCAACTGACTTTGGTACTATGCGTGTGAAGGGTTTAGAAGAAGTCCTTACTTTGATAATCCAATATCAAGAGGAGCCAGGAAACCCAGAGAGGGATCCAAACCATGTTCTCACTGTGTACTCTAATGGCAGCTTTAAGCTTTATTTAAAGAAATGCGTTGTCTCTTTTATATACAACCTGAGTTAAAATGGAAGGACACCTATGGAGATATGATGTGTGTATATATATATATATATATATATAAACATACGTTGTTCATTTACGTGATTGCATTATAAAATGCAGCAATGCGTTCAATAAGATAAAAAAAAGTTTGTTATATTTTTGTTAGGAGTATGAAAAAATACAAAGAACATCAACGTAATAAAATACAGGATATTCTGATGTACAATAGTTAAACAAAACATTAACCATATTTGGATAATAGAAAAGAAAAGAAAGGAAAATAAAAGAAATTGGAGCCTTATACTGACTGGAACCTCCATATGGGGGGTAACCCCTGCATTGAGTTGAATATTGAAGAGAGAAGAGGATTGGAGGGGGCAGTACCAGATGGTACAGACTGGGGAATATCAATAGTAGTGGTTGAAAAAATAAATGAATAGATAATAAAAGGTCACTTTTAATCAATTTGCTTAAAAACCCAATAGATAAGGGCTGGATATATATCTTGTTCTACAAACTCACACACAACAAACTAAATAAAGAAACATAAAGTAATTTGAATAAAATTGAATGGTATAAATTGTAATTTCCAGAAAACGTCCTGTACCAGGAACTGGTACAGTACGTCTGTACCATCTGGTACTGTAAACTCCAATCCTCTTCTCTCTTCAATATTCAAAACTAGTGATGTCCCAAACGGTTCGCCGAATGGTTCGCCACGGACTGCAAACATAAACATAAACTTTGACCCTGTACCTCACAGTCAGCAGACACATTCCAGCAAATCAGCAGCAGGCCCTCCCTCCCAGACCCTCCCACCTCCTGGACAGCTCACTAAGAATGCAGCTTCACAATGAATGTAAAATAGATGCTGTCCAGGAGGTGGGAGGGTCTGGGAGGGAGGGTCTGCTGCTGATTGGCTGGAATGTGTCTGCTGACTGTGAGGTACAGGGTCAAAGTTTATGTTTATGTTCGCCGTCCGTGGCGAACCATTCGGCGAACCGTTCGGGACATCACTATTCAAAACATTAACCATATTTCTATATTTACTTGATAATGAAAAATAAAGCATGTAACATATAAAACCATTATCTTGATCTCATACTCCACTTTTTTAAAATTAAACTAAATTGGGGTTATAGCTAAAAGTGCAGTGGTTATTGAAGACAAAATGGAATAAGGATAAAAATAAATATATATCCTGCACTCCAACCTTAAAGGGACACAATAGTCACTAAAACAACTTTAGCTTAATTAAGCAGTTCTTTTGTATAGATCATGTTCCTGCAGTCTTGCTGCTCAATTTCTGCCATTTAGGAGTGTAACAAAATCCCTTATTGAACTGACCATGCGAACCAGCCTGTTCGGTTATTTAGATGGGTACAGAGTGATTTTGTGCAAATAGCGAGAAAAACGAATAAACTACTGAACCACCCGACCTCCCATTGAGGTTGTGTGGCACCTATTAACCACCCAGACTTTGCGGTTAACCACAGCCTAATTGGGGAATAGCTGGTGGTCCGCGTTCGTCTACACATGGCAATCGCCATTTTGGATTGTCGACCGCACAGCAGTAAATGGCAACGATACCATGGAACTAATTTCGGCTACTTATTTTGACGAACACCGCTGCTACCTCTTCAGGTCCTCGTTCATACGGTGGAAAACCCACGAATGCTGGAGATACCACCTCATTCGGGCGTTGGAGGCATGCGAAAGTGCCCAACCCCAGATAGCTACAGTATGGAACTTGTTGTCGGCTGCAAACACGCGAACGGCCGGTGAAAGCCAAACCTTAGTCGACGTTTTTGAGAACTGTGTTCGTGGGATCTGAGCGCTATTCACCTAGAATATGCACTCAGATCCAAGCTATCTGGGGATATGTGGGACTTAAAGTTTATGTTCTGTAAAATGTAAGTTATAGATTTTTATGCTGTTTTGCTAAAATAAGAAAAGCCATGTTTCTTTCTACCTGGAGATAATTAAGGCTCTCTTTACTCCCTTAAGTTAATTATCTCCAGGATGGAAAAGAGGGAGTGATTTATGTAAAATGGGAGTGCTTATGTTATAGCCACTGTGATTGGCTACTGTAATGCTTTTGTCCCAGTCTTCCATCTGGTCCCCTAGGGGAGTGTCCACCAGGTGGGAGACCTGCATAAATACCGGGCAGGTAGCCCACAGTAAATCAGATCGTTTTATCCCTTCATGAAGTCTCGACTCATGTTTGGGGGATTGGGAGTTATAATCACTTTGTTTCAGCGGGATTTCGGGAGAAGCTGCAAGGATCATCGCTGCACGAATAGAAGGATCCTTTACAAGGAGTTAAATCACTTTGTTTATACAGCCCTAGTCACACCTCCCTGCATGTGACTTGCACAGCCTTCCTAAACACTTCATGTAAAGAGTCATATAATGGTTACACTTTCTGTATTAAAACGATGTTTAACCACTCAAGGACACAGCTTCAAAAGCTTATCTTACCCGTAAGGACACAAGCCATTTTTGCATATTTTGCTGTTTGTGTTAAAACGCAACTTGTATCTCAACCCTTGTCATTTATTGCATCAACACATATTATATAACGTTTTTTTAGAAGGCAAACAGGGCTTTAATTTTATGTCACATATACACGGATAAATTCTCATTAATTGTAAAAAAAATGCCAAAAAAAAAAATAAAATATTTTTTTTCACAGTTTTGGCAATAATAATGTGTGCATAACATGTCCAGTTTAGAAAAAGTAATTAAAAAAAAAAAACATTTATGTGTCTTGATTTATAGCGTATATAATATGTATAGGATTTCAGCTTATTTTGAAAGTTACAGGTCACAAAATACAAGGACTAAAATAAATTTTTTATGTGAAACAATTTTAGAAGTTGGTATGTTTGTCTTGTAGGTTTAGTAGCCACCACAGAAAACAAATTTGCCACACAAAAGTATATATTTATATAAAGTAGACATCACAGCTATTTACCTAGTGTTAGTTTGACACTTTTTATGTAACCATTTCATCGCCAATCTCTGTTATATATGGAGTAAAATTATGTTTTTTTTCTCTATTTTGGCATATACACATATAACAAGGTTTTTGTAATGTGTATTTCGTAAAGCTGGTGAGTGGGTGCTATTCCTGCATAGAACCCCATATTGTGTTTAGATACATCTGCTGAGTATAACAATACCCCCATTGTATGCTTTTGGCACTATTCTGTGAAGCTACAATGCTATATAATAGACAAGGCTATTTCTGTTTCTATAGTTGGAATGTTTATAGATGGATTTGACGGGCCTATGTCCCTATGGCATATTTTGAACCTTAGGGTGGGATAATTTTTCCGCTAGCTTGTACCAAGTGTAGTGGTAATAAGCATTTTTTCTGCCTTTTTGACACACAAAGTGAGTTTGCACAGTATATTTTGCAAACCTTACGTGTGCTACGACTGTATAATACTTCAAATGTTGCTAAGCTATGTCGTCTGAGCACAGCAATACCCTCGCATGCACTTTTGCCAGGTATATGTGGATGTTGAAGGGGCACATTTGAGACGCAGCCATTCAGTTTTTTTCTAACTTTAAAGTTTTACGCTGTGTCCATGTTCTATTTTGGAGTAGTTTAGCTGGCTGGTTATTCAAACTTCCCCACTCACATACTATTTATTAAAGAATTCACCCAGGGGTAATTCAAAAGGCATATTTTGAACCTTAGCATGGGATAATTTTTTCACTAGTATGTTCTAGGTGTAGTGGTAACAAACATTTTTTTAATGTATTTTTTTACTTTTTAAAACTTTTTTTACTTTTTAAAACTCGTTTCTAATTTTTTTTTTTAATTATTAAAATTTTTAAACTTTCTTAACTCTTTTTACACTTTTAAAATTTTATATAAACTCTTTTTCCCGTTAACCCCTAACTAGCAGTAAGCATCACTAACAGTAAACTCCCCACTTACCCATAACTCCCACCCACCCCAGCTAGCAAAATATATAATTTAAAAATATTTTAATGAATGAATGAAATAAATTAAACCCCTGAGGGTTAAAAAATAAATAAAAGTTAATCCTCTTGGGTAAAAAAAACTGAGATGCCAGTATAATACTGTGATCTTTATTTTGATCAATGTATGCAGTGATCAACTGGCAGGTGAATGGGTTAATTTTTATTTGGACTGGGTATAGGGGGTTAGGATTTTTTTAATGTTTTTAAATGTTATTAAAACATTTTTTTAAAGCTTTTTAAAAAAACAAAAAACTTTTTTAATGTTAATCCCTAGCTAGCCTAACACCAAATTCCCCACTAACTTGCACCCACCCCAGCTAGCTAAATCTATAATTTGAAAATATTTAAATTAATTAATAAAATAAATATAACCACTAAAGATTGAAAAAAAGAATTAACCCTCAGGGGTTTAAAAAAAAAAAAAAAATCAGATAAAATGTAGTCCCTGCCAATTGATCACTATAGTCAGTGATCAATTGGCAGGGAAGGGGTTAATTTTTATTGGGATTTTAAACTAACTTTATTTATTTTTTTATACAGGGAGAAGATCCATCTCCCTGTACTTCACACTGGATGCAGAAGAGCAGGGAGGCAGATCGTGAGTCCCTGTCAGAGCGATAACAGCTGCAGGGACAGCGCGATCGGGTGCTCCTGGTCTGCCTTGAATACCGAGGCAGACCGGAGGAGTTTTAACCTCGCGATTGCTGCAATCTGGGGTTAACTTTAGTAAATGACGAAAATTTGCAGTCAAGGGTCTTAAACGCAAGGACAAGCTTGACGGAAAATTTTGTCTTTGGTCGGGAAGGGGTTAACTTAGAATTTCTTATCTCCTGCTCTGTTAATAGCTTTCTAGATCCTGCAGGAGCCTCCTGTATGTCATTAAAGTTTAAATTACAGAGCAGGAAATAAAAACTTTTCAAGCAAGTTACATCTGATTGAAAATGAAAATATTTAATTTTCATGCAGGTTGTGTGAGTCACAGACAGAGAAGGTGTGGCTAGGACTGCATAAGCAGAAACAAAAGTGATTTAACTCCTAAATGGCAGATAATTGAGCAATCAGACTGCAGGGGCATAATCTATACACCAAAACTTGTTCATTAAGCTACAGTTGTTTTGGTGACTATAGTGTCCCTTTCTAATTTGTGAATTTTGCCAGTGTTTAGCAACACTCTAAATAGAATATTCAAACTAATCATATCATTTGATAAGCGTCAGGGTAGATGTGAAATGCGCACAAAGCCCTCTTAGGTATTTAACCAATTTTTTCAACTTTTTGCCCCCTCCCCCCCGCTTCCTGCAGGCACAGGGCTGATTTTCTATTTTGTGCATTGGTGTTTTTTTTTAGTTTTTAGTTTTTTGGGGTTCGCACACTATTTCTTATTATATTGTTATTTTATGCCCTGTTGTTTATAAGGGCTGCCGGCTATTATACATGTCATGCCACAAATTCTGTCATTAATAAAGATGCACTACTCATTAACTATCTTTTTTGTATATTATGAATGGCAGGGAGTGTGGACCTTTTGCAGCAAGGTGGTGAAACGCCAAATAATACATCCAAAATAAGCTAGCACTCTGGGTCATTAAAAAAAATACTCTTTATTGTAATACAAACCCATTTCTGGTCAACTTTTTAGTTAATTTCTTGAACTTTCATCAGGACATGTCCTGATGATATATTTTTTGTTTGTTTGTATTTTTATTTTTTTTTCCTCAGGTGTGCATTCATAAGACACCAGGATACTTTTAGTGCTCAGAGTGTGCTGTAGTTATTGAGTATGAAAAAGAAACAAAACGAAAAAACAAAACAAGGAATCAATTAGAGTGAAAAACGAAGAAAGACGGAGTAAACCTGGGTAAAATGTTTGTAAGAGAAGACAGTAAGAGAGAAGAGATACTAAAATGTGTTGTCAGGGCTGCCATCAGGGGGTGATAACCATAATAGTTATCACGTGCCCAAATTCCCTGGAGGGCCCGGCCGCTCAAGACCCACATGTTGTGGCTGAACTGCCACCGGTGCAGCTGCACCAGAGTCCTACGCTGATGGGGCTCATTGGGTGGCCCACACACTCAGGGCCACCCGCTGGGCCCTATATCTTCAGGAGCCCAGTCAGCACGGCCGGTCACTTCCTCCTAGCTCACTCCACATGGGAGGAGAGTCAGCATGTAGGCCTTGAAGAGGGAAAGCCATGCTGACTCCCATCAGCCCCAGCCATCCTCCTGCAAGGAAAAGGTAAGAAACAGGAGTGCGGCTGAAAAATGAGCTGTGTGTGTCAGTCAGTATGTATGTCTTTATGTCAGTATGTATGTATATCAGTATGTATGTCTGTATGTTTGTATGTCAGTATGAATGTATGTCTGTTATGTCAGTATGTCTGTATGTATGTCAGTATGCATGTATGTATGTATGTATATACGTATGTCTGTCAGTATGTATGTCTGTAAGTCAGTATGCATGTATGTCTGTATGTCAGTAGGTCTGTATGTCTGTATATATGTATGTCTGTCAGTATGTATGTCAGTATGCATGTATGTCTGTATGTATGTATGTCAGTATGTATGTCTGTGTCAGCATGTATGTCAGTATGTATGTCTGTATGTCAGTATGTGTGTATGCCTGTCAGTATGTATGTCTGTATGTCAGTATGCATGCATGTCTGTATGTATGTATGTATATATGTATGTATGTCAGTATGTATGTATGTCAGTATGAATGTATGTCTGTATAAATCTATTTCTGTATGTATGTATGTGTGTGTATGTATGTATGTGTGTGTGTGTATGTATGTGTGCGTGTGTGTGTCTGTATGTCCTTATGCAGGTGTTTGTGTGTGTGTGTGTCTGTATGCATGTTAGCATGTGTCTGCGTGTCACTATGTATGCCTGTGTGTCTGTATATGTGTGTATGTCTCAGTATGTGTGTGTCAGTATGTATGCCTATATGTGTGCATGTCTGTTTCAGTATGTGTGTCTGTTAGTATGTATGTATATATCTGTATGTCAGTACGTGTGTATCTTTGTGTGTGTGTATCTGTGTCCTTTTTTATCAGTGTGTGTGTTTGTGTCTGTGCGTGTATTCCTGTGGGTGGGATTTGGAGGTGGTCCCTGTGGGTGGGCTTGGAGACAAGCCCCGGGGGCCCAGACCCTGAGCTGAGTTCAGATGGCTGTATTGTTATTGTATCATATTTAAGCAATTCAGTCATGTGAAAAATACTAGAAGAGATTGCCTTACTAGGTCAATCTATGCACCATAAACACTCTAGCAGTATCTGGGTGCTTGGGAGAGCTCTAATTTATGTGAAGCTGCTCTCATGTTGCCGAGGTATAAACGTTGCATAAAATGTTCCCTTGAGACAGGTATTTGAAGCTCTCTAATACTAATGTTATTACGAAAGTACCAGGTAAAACAAAATTACTTTATGAAAACAGTAGATAAAGCTGCTTTGGACCAATCTTTTAACTTCTTTTGATGCTGGTTTGAAGTTTAAAATTGGTCCTTGGCAGATAACTAAAATTCTACTGCCAAAAGAGCACCAAAAACACCTGATAGATGCCCTCTCAGTTCCTCTCACATGGCTGCTGGAGGAGAAAGGAACTTCAAATAACATTGCTCCTATTTATTTGTGAATGTGTAACTTTTTCATCCATTCACTTGCCTATAGTAAACATTATTTTAACTTGGTAGCTTTCTGGAAGAAATCACAAGGCCCCAAAAGTGATTGTGTCATATTAACTTCAGTATGTTTGCATTTGCTTGTGACATTTTCTTCAGAAATACTAGATACTTAATAAATGAAGGACAACCCAATAATCAGTAACCAGTCATTACCACGTCAGACCTTATTATTATATCCTTGTTTAGCTATATATTAGTGAACTTTATCATATCGAAAATGCATTCTACTTAATGTAAATAGTTAGCGTGGCTTACAATGGTTAACAGCTGACAGATTTTTGATGTATGACCATACATATGGCCCATGCTAATATAGAAAGGGAACTTTTTCCAGTAATCTGACCTGATCTTGTTTTCAGATGACCCATGTACTGTGATGTACTATGGATATGGTATGTTGATGATCACTTGGCTTGCTTCCCCAAACTAGTGTAATTGATCCCTTTGGCCTTCAGCCAGCTTCAGATTCCTTGGCCTCATCTGTAAAATTTAAGAAGGAAATTGAATCTAAAGGAAAACTTCCTTTTAGTTATCCTCATATAGACTTTCAGAAGAGTAGCAAATAGAAATGTTGCTGTCATTTTACTAGGTTACTAAAATAGATGTGTCACATTGTAGTGTTCTTATTAGTTAATGTGTTGGTGGTAGAGTAAAATAAAATTTAAACTTCTGAAGTTGTAAAATCAACATAACTATTTTACAATCAAATATTATTTAAACCATTTCAGTAAGATTTATAGCCTTGGCAAAAAAATAGAGCTGCTAGGTTTCCCAAGAGTGATTATCTTGTAACAACATTATCCAGAGTAATCCAACCATGACTCAAAGCCAAGAATATGTAGCCAAATGGACTTCCTTTCAAGACACTTTTTAAAAAAAAAAAGTGCAGTGTACTTTTATTGTAAATAACATTTTCACAAACGATGGAGCCCGCTAACTTATCAGTCACTTGTGTGAGTTGGCAAATTGAATCTTAAAATCTAGAAATAAGTTAAACAACTGTTTAATTGAAGAAAATAAAAATCTAATTCTGTTGTAATAATGTTTTTGGTATCTTGGCAGAGTTAGCCTATTTTTGTTTTTGCCTATTTTTGCCTATTTTTGTCACATCATATATGTAAACTTGCTACAGTTTATTGAATGAACAAGTGATCGAGTATACCTGATATAATGTTTCATATTAAGTTTTCTCTTACAAACCATGTTTATTTTTAACCCAATGGAAATGTTTTAGTTCTATTTTAACACCATTAGCTAATATTTAGTATATACTGATCATGTAATGATGACTCTGAGAAACCAGTCTTAAACCTTGAGGTCAGGTCTCATGACCCTGTTGACTGTAGATTTCTTTAAATAAGCACAGACAGTTATTTCATTAGCAGAGACAGATCTGTCAAATTTCCATAGCTGACAGACCCTTCTGTGATCACTTTAGGGTAACTTTAGGCTCCCAGTAGTAAGACATTTTCTTTTTTCTTGTTGTCTGTGATCTTATTACTGGGAAATGCCATTTAAAGAAGGTCAGAACGGAAAAAGCAATAAATACAGAAATATAATCATTAACTGGTCTCAAATGTTTCTAGTGGGATTCTGCTATGCACACATACACATACTCATACTTGAGACATGGGAAATTGGAGGTGGGTAAAGTTTGTGAAAGTTAGTGCATGATAGATCTCCTTTATATTTTTTTTTAAATATGTCTAATGTCAGGGTGGTATAATGCCCTACCACTCTTAGCTGCACTAACAAACCATATGTATAGATGTCACCTGATTTCACAAGAATGCTTGCACATCAAAGTTTGTTAATGTTAAGGGAAAACTCTATTTTCCTTTCTAAATACTATTTAAATCGTTGCCCTCTTGTCTATAAAGTGAATAGTCCTCACCTCCTTAGACATTGCATGATGACTTTGCATTAAGAGCTGCAAAGATATGTTTTCACCACTACAAATTAAAGGAACACTATAGACACCCAGATCACTTCATATCGATGAAGTGGTCAGGGTGCCATGTCCCTGTAGGTTTGCCATTTTGTTGGAAGGCCAAAGTTTTCAATGCAGGACTTGAGGGTGACTTCCCTGGGGACCAGTGGTGGCTCAGCCTGATGGGAGTCAGAGTTCCTACTCTGACTCCATCCTCTCTTACCTCCGCGCGGCTCCTGTTGTAAGCTGGGATGAGTCATGGGGCAGTCACTTCCTCCCAACTGTGATGTCATCAAAGAGGCCTGGTCGCGCTGTTAAAGCTCTGTAGCGCTGACCGGGCTCCCTGGAGAAGATCTACAGAGTGCAGATTTATGCAAGTGCAGGGGCATGATGGAGGAGAATTGGGTTTAGCTGATATATTAAGATTTTTGGAAAGAAGATGGTGGCCTTAAATGGGAAAAGGGCAATAGGTGAAGTCAGATATAGAGCAGAAGTAATATGCAAAATATTATCCATGGCTAACACAATTTCATTTAGTAGTTCAGAATTGCAAACTTATAGTGTCCATTGTTCAAACTAAGAAAGAAAATAAGTTTTATTAATCATATAGAAGTTATTAAAAACAATTCTTCTGAATAAAATATTACACATGTGAATCAAAGTCAAAACTAAACAAAAGTATAATAAAAGCAAATTGTCCATAATTAAAAGTAAAAAAGAAATGTCTAGTAACATCACTAATTATAATAAATGTCACCTTCAGTACGTGTTCTGATACAGCCAGGAATCACCCTGGAACCCTCAGTGTTTCAGTTATCTGGACCTTTTGAAGGTGACTGTTAGAGGGAAACTCTAGGCACCCAGGCCACTTTAGCTCATTGAAGTGGTCTGGGTGCAATGTACCATGTCCCTTAACCCTACAGTGGTAATTAGTTTCTGAGAAACTGCAATAATAACCTTGCAGCTTTAAAGCCACTAGAGGGACTTCCAGACAGCCACTAGAGGGACTTCAAGGTGCTTAGACAACTTTTGGTTGTCTAAATGACACTGGACGTCCTCAGGCTATGCATCAGGACTTCCAGCGTTGATCAATGCTTTCCTATGGGGAAATCCTAATGTGAGCATAGCCATTGCCGTGCATGTGCATTAAGAGCGTGGTGTGAGCCTGACACAGCGCGGAGGCACATCGGCGCTGGATTCAGGTAAGTGATTGGAGCGGTTTTAACCACTTTAGCACCCGCGAGAGTGGGGTGGGTGTGCCGCAGGAGGAGGACACTGTAGGATTTTATAGTGCCAGGCAAATGGCTTTGTTTTCCTGGCACTAGAGAATCCCTTTGAGTCACAAATGTTAGTGCTACAAGATATTATTTTAGGAAATAAGGAACAAAGATATGGGGAAAGTCAGAAATAAATATTTAATAACAATTTCCTATTTGGAATATAGAATTTTATTTTGAACCCTAAATGATAAATCGCTATAAAAGAAAGAGAGAGAGAGAGAGAGAGAGAGAGAGGGAGGGAGAAAGTAATTGTATTCTGTCATACAGGGCACAATATTAATTGCTATCGTGCCATGTGAAACTGACTGAGGACATTACTTTAGGATATTATAATCTTTATCCATGTTCATCTCTTTGCAATTTAGTAATTTGTATTATCATTGGTCCAAATTTTAACATCTCTTCTAAAACCACTTTAGGAAGAATGCGAACACTTGCTAACGTTTACTATGAAAAATTGAGTAGGAAAGGCATGTATTTGAAAACTTACATACATAAATTGGTAAATTAGCTGATATTAGCCTTTTTTATTTATAGACGTTAGACCCAGATTACATGCAAATCATGTCTTGGAGAATCAGAAAAATTGTACATCTTTGTATGAGGTGAATATATATATATATATTTTTTTTTTATTATTCACAATAATATATTGTCTAAAAACCTGAAGAAACCAAAATATTTAAAACATACATTATGTATACATGATAAGTATTTTAGTATTTATAAATTTTCATATATATACTCATATGAATCAACACGTTCTGTACTTTCTGGCTTTGAATAGTGTTGGCTTCTACTTATATATAGATATCACCTTGTTCTTTCAAAAGCATGTGTTCTCCAGAACATCATAAACCATAGAAATAAATTACTGATTGTGTCAAAGTCCAAATATTTGTTTGCTAATTTTACACTGCAGTAAAGTAATATTTAAAATGTGAAATTAAAGTTTATTTTTTAAGTGAAGAAAAGTGAGATCATAAAAAAGAGGCTATTATGAAAGTTACTGAAAATGATCTGGATGAACAACTCCAGGATTTGGGCATCACTCGGTGCTCTTTCTTTGGGGACAGTGACAAAACCTGGACTGTCTGTGTCATTTAAGTATCGAGTTGGCAAACACTGCTTTATGGCAAAAAAGATACACTATTTAACAAAATTGTACTCTGAGATATATAAAAATGTGATTTTGTTCTTTATACACTTGGTGTAATAACTTGAAGACTAACCAAATACTGCAACTTTGACTTTAATGTGTATATAAAGTCATTCTGATGCTAAATGTAAATACTAAATGACTTTGTCTTTAATTTGCTCTGTCTTTAACTCTTTGCTAAAAATATTGTTCTAATTTACCTCTTCGTCACTGGGATTGCTTGCCAACCTCTTGCCCTGTTACTATGGCCCCTGGGATGTATTGCCCTTTAAAAGCTTTATTTGGGCATATTGGATATTAAAACAATTTTTCTGCCCCTTTAAATCCATGGGAAAATGTGCCTCTTCCCCTCCCCCTTTTTCCTGTCCTATTGTTTCTCCAGGGCGTTGTCCCAGGGACCAGTTTAACCCCTTAAGGACACATGACATGTGTGACATATCATGATTCCCTTTTATTCCAGAGGTTTGGTCCTTAAGGGGTTAACTGGCTGCTTTGTCCCTCCTCGGTCTCCCTTCAGCCCTTGCTATTTTCTGACCCACCCTTATTTGTACTATAGTGCACTTTTAAGATTGGACATATTGAGCGCTCAGATCCAAGCTACCTGGGGATATGTTGGACAGTGATTTTTGATGATGTTGTTCACTCAGATCAGGGCTATCCAGATATGTATTTGTGGGGATATGTTGTTGTTTTGGGGTGTTTCTGGACTTTGGGTAAAACTAGATATTTTCTGCCTGTGGTAATTAGTCCATTGTGTTTGGTAATTGTATCATAGGCAGAGGGGAGGGTTTGTGTACATTAGCTGGGAGTGTCTAACTGTACATTACTGTGTTGATTGGATGTTGTGACTTTGTGTCCTGTGCTCCACAAGATCCATGTGGGTGGTAACCTTGTGGGGAAAACTGTATAAAAGAAATGCCTATATGCTCATTAAACAGACTTGTTCTACCCTTCATGAAGTCTTGGCTCATGTTTGGGAGATTGGACAACTGCACTCTGGGGATTGCTATAATCTCTATACTCCCCAGAGTATAATCACTAGCTCTTGTAAGAGCTGTTCCTGTTTCACTCTCTTGACTAAGGAGAGGTTCACCCACTGGAAGCTGGAGACTGGTCTTGGGTCCAGGGTGGGTGGAGGACGGCGAGACCCCAACCAAGCTTCGGCGGTTCGTGGGGTTTGCGGTGGTTATGGTGTTGAGTGCGGTGCTGATGATCCTTGGTGAGCACTAGGAGCATCGTTCGACGGAGGCACCCAGTCGGGGTGGCAGGCGGTCTGTTACATTATGAAACCATGAATGTTTACTTCCCATTTTCACGGTACTAATACAATTCTGTGCAATATTCTAGACCTTATGATAAATATATAGTTTATTTACCAATTGCTCATAAATATTATTAGAATGAAGTCAAACAGTGTAATTAAACAGAAAAAAATAAATTTGAGCCATACATTGCTTATGTTCTAAGTGGTTTCTCTGGATGTAATGTAGTTTGCAATAGCTGGTAATTGTTATATTAAAATGAATATACAATAAAGATAATAGAGGCCATCAGCGTTTAATTGTTTAATATTGTTTAATATTTCCTAGCAATGATGGCCCTTTAATAGAAAATAACAAGTATAATATATGGTTTAGAAGGCCACAAAGACCAATATATTTCTGTTAAAAACTGTTTTAGAGGCTGAATATAGAAGAATGGAATTAAATTACCCGAGTTACTGTTGCATGCAATCTCTTTGGAATCTGACTCTCTCTTGAGTGAAATCTATGGGATTAATATATCATCTAATTAAGAAAGTAAAGCTCTTCCCACTTTGTTAAGCTGTTTTACATATTTTTTACCTATCCAGATAGCAACACAACCTCTCTACATGATTCCAGATGACATACAGAGACACAATTTTAAACTGATAAAAATCAATCTGCCCTACAACCATATCTGCTAAACGGAATACATCTTTAATTTAACATGGTACTGAAACCAGCAGTTATTTTTCAATTAATTCACTGTTATATCTCGAACCCAGCCACCTATATTTTGTGTAAGAATTAGACGCATCCTTTACTCCTTATGTTAAGATGTTTCTTATTGTTGTAATTAAATGCAAGCATAAGCTCTGTTTTTATAATACTAATTGTAAAACATTGCATGTTTTCTTATAGTATTATAACTGCAATATACCAGCAATCATTGCTGGGATTTCGTCACTGCAAATACATACATTTGTAGCTACAACAGGTAATATTTTCAGTTGAGATATTGCTAGCTCTGCATAGTTCCTTTGTCAGTCTGCCCTCTTCCCAAATATCCTGTCATAGATTGAGAGACTTGTTTCCTAGTAACAAGGTAACAAGGAAGCAGGTTTTCAAAGTTCAAGAAAGACAAAAGCAACAGGTTCGATTCTATGTACCTCTACATATTTCAATCTGACAAACTATCCTTCATAAGAGAAGATTTGGAAAATGTCTGTATCAGCACCTGATGTTATGGTGTACGGTGCTGTACTGTAGCTAATTTCTAATTTCTTTACTTTCTGACTTATCCCCATTTCACTGACATCTACTAAGAGCATTTCACATGGTAGCAGCTGGACAATCCTTTGCATTATACAATGGGGTCCTGGATCAGTTAGTTCCAGGGTTTTGAACTTTGAAACTTTTCAGAATGAAAGTAGTCTAGAGTCTTTTAACTCCTTAAGGACTGCAGACGTACTAGGTACATGCGACAAAAAACGGTCCTACGTCCATGGCAAATATATTACTTACCTAATTGCGCTGTTCCCCCATCGGCGATCGGTGTTGCTCCCGGTTTGGAGGCACTGCCTGGCAGCCCAGACAGTCCCCCTCAGCAAATTAGCCCCATGCGGGCCATATGATCGCTCTGAAAGAGCGGTCACATGTCCGCAATAGGTGTCTTTGTATCGGCCTGCAGGGGGACTGCCTGAAAAAATAAAAATAATGTTTAGTAAATTAAAAACAATACATGTGTATGTATATAATATATAAATATGGGCATGCAGCCATAGGTCGTCGGATTGCTACCCAGGGCCGGGGCACCTTATGGTGGCACCGCTGGAGCCGGTAGGCAGCCTTAGGCCCCCCCAGGCAGCAATCCAGAGTAGGCACCTGCCTGTCCAAAACAGCAGGTGCCTTCTCTGCTTTCGTATCATTGGTGGGTGAGTGGGATGAAGGAATGCACGGGAGTACTGACTTATGTGCGGTTCCAGCACTGCTCCCTCCATGCCTTCCCCTGATGCAGCTGGGAGACAGGAAATGACTTCAATCAGGAGCCGCCGCCTAATTAACATCATTTCCTGTCTCCCGGCGGCATTAGGAGATGCTGGGGGAGAGGAGGAATTGGGGATGCTGGCGGGAGAAGGGGAGAGGAAGAGGAGAATCCGGGAGAGAGATGAGGAGGAGGAGAATCTGGGAGAGAGGAGGAGGAGATGCTGGGGGAGAAGGGGAGAGGAGGAGGAGGTGATGCTAGGGGGAAGAGAAGATGCTGGGGGAAGAAGGGGGTTACACTGTGGATAGAGAATGGAAAAGGAGGAGATGCTGGGGGAGAAGGGGGGGAGGAGGAGGAGATGCTGGAGGGAGAGGGGGATACACTGTGGATAGAGAACGGAAAATGTTGGGGGGAGAGAGGAGGAGAATTGGTTCAGACAACTGTATGAGTTGTGTTTTCGAAACTTAAACCTCAATATTCAGGTTTAATTTCCGTCTTGGCACTTTTAGGAAAAAAAATTGGCATGTATTGCGGTTTGGGCACTCAGGCTCAAAAAGGTTCGCCATCACTGCACTAGAGGATTGACGTTCCTGGAACTACAGGTGAGCTATTATTACTCCTGAGAGAGGCTGCATTAAATTAGCCTCAACATCACTCTAATGTTTGGAATATATATTTGTGAAACATTTAGTTTTTTTAAGGCTCCTTTTTAAAATCAGTTGAAAAGTCAGATACAGGCAATCATTAAAGATTAGTAACTTAATAGGGTAATCAGAAATCACTTTCACAATATAGTAATAGTTTATATAACAATACACAACCTGACTGTAATATTTAACATAACAGAGATTGTTCCATTTTAAACAGTGATGCAAAGACCTACCAATAACTTGTATTTATCATAGAATGGTCATCAGTGACAAAGACATGCTGTGAATAATGCATGTTTATTTTTTCCTATATCGTAGAGTAACAAATCTGTGAGCAAGCATTATAGGTAGTAAAATGTTAATGAACTATCATCTTCCTACTCTTATCTACGTTTGCATCCTTCAGATTCTCCTGCAATATTAAACTATTACTATTAAAAAGGTCATAGGCAGAAAATGTTCTGCCGTTTTAGAACCAAGATATTTTGTTAGAACATGAGCTCTACATTGTGAGATGCATAAGGTGACAAACTTCACAATTCAGGTTATACTGGCGAATATGTAGTTCTCCATATGCAATACATTTAAAAAAAGGGCATTAATGAGTTTATGCATATTTCTAAGTTCTCTTGTTATTATTAATGGTATGAATATAAAAAAAGCAAACTGGGTAGGTGATTTCTGCTTTTGTGGACAAATGAACCACTAGGTCTAGAAATTGTAAAAGGGATAAGAAACTATTATTGTGGTGGTGTGTTTCCACATGCTTCTGGTCATGATTATAACTATGAAGCAATAAAGGTACTGTTTTTTACTTCAATTTTGCACTTTTTTTACTTTTTTGTTCTCTCAGTAGTTTTTTGGCTGAATTATGTAAAATTTCTAGTTCCCTAGTGTCCCGCTTTTGGGTCTGCACTGAATAAATATAAAGCTAGAAACCCTATTAAGATTATTATACAATATTATTAAAGGGACACTATATTCAAACAACTTTAGCTTAATGAAGAAGTGTTGGTGCATAGCTCATGCCCCTGTTGTCTCACTGCTCAATTCCCTTACATTAGAAGTTAAATCACTTTGTTTTTGCAGCCCTAGTCACACCTCGCTGCACATGACTTACACTGTCTTCCTAAACACTTCATGTAAAGAGTCATCTAATGTTTATACTTCCTTTATGGCAAATCCTGTTTAAAATGTCTTATTTCCTGCTCTGTTAATAGCTTGCTATACCCTGCAGGAGCCTCCTGTTCATAATTAAAGTTCAATTTAAAGGGCAGGAGATAAAAACATTTAAAGCAAGTTACATTTGAAACCATTTTGTGTCCATACAGGTTGTGTCAGTCACAGCCACGGGAAGTTTGTTGTTAGGGGAAATAAAAGGGATTTAACTCCTAAGTGGCAATTAATTGAGCAGGGAAACTTCAGAGGCATGATCTACACACAAAAATTGCTTTATTAACCTAAAGGGATCTTGGTGTCTATAGTGTCACTGTAAATAATTAAGACACTTTAATTTTTTTAACAGTTTTTGTAATATTCGTCTTGCATAATGTGACCTTGACAATTTTATGGTATTATTATGTTGTTATTTATATAGCACCAACAAATTCCACAGCACTTTACAGTGGGTGGACAAACAAACATGTAGTTGTAACCAAACAAGTTGGACACACAGGAACAGAGGGGTTGAGGGGCCTGCTCAATGAGCTTACATGCTAGAGGGAGTGGGATAAAGTGACACAAAAGGTAAGGATAGTAATAGACTAATGACAGTTGCAAGAGAGGAATCAGTCAGGAGCTATTAACAGTTTAATTGATACGCTTTTATGAAGAAGTTTGTTTTTAATGATATTTTTAAGGAGTGGAGACAGGGTGAGCATCTAACGGAGGAGGGAAGTGAGTCCCGCAGGAACGGTGCAACCCTCGGGAAGTCTTGAAGGCGAGCATCAGAGGTGGGAGTACGGACAGAAGCTAGACATAAGTCTTCAGCAGAGCGTAAGGGTCTAGACAGGTCATACTTGTGTATTAGGGAGGATAGATAGGTGGGATCAGCATTATGTAGAGATTTGAACGCAAGAACCAGAAATTTAAGTTGGGCTGTATATCTTACAGGAAGTCAATGTAGGAATTGACAGAAGGGTGAGGCGTGGGAGGTGTGGGTGGACAGAAAGATGAGCCTCGCCGCCACATTCATTATGCACTGTAACAGTACAAGTTGGGAGCACGTAAGACCACTGAGAAGCGGATTACAGTAGTCAAGGCGAGGAAGGATAATGGAATGGACCAGCACCTTAGTTGCATCTGGCGTTAAGTAGGGTCAGATGCGCGCAATGTTTTTGAGATGGAAGCGGCAGGATTTGGCAATACACTGAACATGAGGCGTGAAGGAGAGATCAGAGTCCAAGAGAACACCTAGGCAGCGAGCCTGCATGGTGGAGCTGTTGGTAGCACCGTTTACTTGGAGGGAGACAGACACAGGAGTAGCAACACTTGAGGGAAGAAAGACCAGAATTTCAGTTTTGGTCAAGTTGAGTTTAAGGAAGTGGGCAGCCATCCAGTTAGAAATAGCAAAGAGGCAGTCAGAGACACTAGTCAAGAGGGATGGCGAGAGATCAGGAGATATTGGAAGCAAATTATATTGGAAGCCAAAGGAGCTAATGAGTTTACCAAGTGAGGCAGGATAGATGGAAAACAGTAAGGGACCAAGGACTGAACCTTGGGGGACACCAACGGAGAGAAGTTGGGGAGAAGAAGCAGAGCCAGAGAAAGAAACACTGAAAGAGCGCTGGGAGAGGTAGAAGGAGCACCAGGAGAGAGCAATATAGTGTAGACCAATATTGCGGAGGATGAGAAGAAGCTGTTGATGATCAATAATGTCAAAAGCCGCAGAAAGGTCAAGGAGAATTAGGATAGAGTAGTGACCATAAGATTTAGCAGCGAGTAGATCATTGGATACTTTGGTCAGTGCCGTTTCCATAGAGTGCTTAGCACGGAAACCAGACTGAAGCAGGTCTAGCAGAGAGTTGGACTCGGGGAAGTCTGTCAATCTCGCATTCACAACTCTTTCAAGGACCTTGGATGCAGAGGCAGTAGCAAGATAGGACGGTAGTTGGATGGGGAGTTAGGTTAAAGGTTGGGCTTCTTTAGAATTGGGGTTATAGTTGCATGTTTGAAGGGCGATGGAAATATGCCAGAGGAGAGAGAGAGATTGAGAATTTTAGTGAGAGGTAGAGAAAGAGAAGAAGACAGAGTATGGATGAGATGTGAGGAAATTGGATCCAGGGAGCAGGTGGTGGGGCAGGAGGACTGGAGCATAGCAGAAACCTCTTCCACTGTAGCGGGTGCGAATGAACATAGAACAGCAGAGGGAGTGAGGTTAGGGGAAGTATTGTAAGGGGAAGAAGAAAGATGAGATATCTCTTCCCTGATTGTGTAGATCTTGTCAGTGAAGTGAGTTGCAAAGTCTGAGGCAGTCAAGCTAGTTGTGGAGAAGGAACAATAGGACAAAGAAGAGAGTTAGTTGTGTAAAATAGTCGTTTGGGTTCGCAGGAGAGAGTGGTTATGAGGGTATTGAAATAATTTACTTTTGCAGAGGAAAAAGAAAGGCTGTATGAGCACAGCATAAATTTATAGTGGAGAAAGTCAGATGCCCAGTGAGATTAACTCCAACAGCGTTCAGCAGTTCTGGAGCATTTTTGGAGGTATCGAGTCTGCTTGGTGTGCCAAGGTTGTTGTCAGGGGCGCTTGCTGCATTTAAATGTAGGAGGTGCCATGATGTCTAGTTGAGAGGAGAGGGTGGAATTGTAGAAGGAGGTTGCAGAGCTAGGACAGGTGAAGTTTGAGATAGGTAAAAGGAGAGTTTGGAGATTAGTGGAGAAATGCTCTAGGTCAAGACATTTGAGGTTTCTGTGAGATTGATGTTCAGACAGTGGTGTCAATTGGGTCTTAGGGATGCCAATGTCAAAAGTCAGCAGATAGAGGAAAAGGAATATTGAAGAGATAAGAGGTGGTATAGAGATTGGTGAAAGCGAGATCAAGAGTGTTTCTCAATGTATGGGTTGCTAAATTGGAGCATTGCGTAAGGCCAAAGAAGGAGGTTACAGAGAGCAGACGAGAGGCATCATTGCATTTGGGGTTGTTGATTGGGATATTGAAATCCCCAAGTATAAGGGAAGGAGTGCTAGATGAGAGGAAGTGGGGAAGCCAGTAAAGTGCTCAATGAACAGCCTAGGTTGACCAGTAATGGCGGGGTGGGTGGAGGGGGCGGTAGATGGCAGCAATTCTTAAAGGAGTAGGTTTAAATAGGCGTACAGTGTGAACTTCAAAGGAAGTAAAGGATAGGGCAGGGGGTGTTATAAATAGTTGAAAGGTACACTGAGAGGAGAGAAGGATGCCTGCACCACCTCCTTTACAGTTGAGTCTGGGAGTGTGAGAGAATTGTAGCCCACCAAAACATAAAGAGTCAGGAGTAGCGCTATCAGAGGGGGACAGCCAGGTCTCTGTAAGTGTGAGTGAGTTTGACATGGATTCATGGAGCAGTTGGGGTCTATCCACTAAACATTATCTTTCCAACTAATCTTTGAAGAAAAGCTAGTTTAAAAAAAAAAGAAGTTTAAGTCTGGTCACTAAGGACACTAATAGCTGAGTATGGAAAAGTTGATGATCATCTATCTAAATTTTTAACAGCCCCTGACACCACATTTAATTACTTTTTTTTTTATAAAGTCAGGAGAATACCAATATATATAATTGCAATTTCAATTTATTTCAATAGGCAGATCATGTTCTCTATTATCATAATATTACATAATTTAATATTTAATTTGAACATATATATCCTAGTCTGTATGGGATTAATGGGAAGTACCTGCAGCTATATTAAAGGGACACTATAGTCACCAAAACAACTTTAGCTTAATGAAGCAGTTTTGTTGTATAGATCATGCCACTGCATTCTTACTGCTCAATTATCTGCTATTTAGGAGTTAAATCACTTTGTTTATGGACCCTAGTCACATCTCCCTGCATGTGACTTGCACAGCCTTCCTAAATATTTCCTGTAAAGAGTCATCTAAAGTTTATACTTCCTTTATTGCAAGTTCGGTTTAATTTCGATTTTCTTATCCCCTGCAAGAGCCTCCTGTATGTGATTAAAGTTCAATTTATAGAAAAAGAGATACAATTGTTTAAGGTAAATTACATCTGATTGAAAGTGAAACCAGATCCTAGATCCTGCAAGAGTCTCCTGTATGTGATTAAAGTTAAATTTATAGAGAAAGAGATACAGTAAATTGCATCTGATTGAAAGTGAAACCAGTTTTTTTTTCATGCAGGCTGTGTCAATCAGAGCCAAGAGAGGTGTGACAAGGGCTGCATAAACAGAAACAAAATTATTTAACTCCTAAATGGCAGGAAATTGAGCAGTAAAACTTGAGAAGCATGATCATCACACAAAAGCTGCTTTCTTTAAGCTAAAGTTGTTTAGGCAACTATAGTGTTCCTTTAATAATGACAATAGAAATACCTGTAACTCCCACTAACTTCCCAATGTTCCAGTGGTAGTGTTATAGTCAAGTTCTCCGCTTTATCTCTTACACTACTCTTTCAAACTACACTACACATTATGCATTTACTCCTACACTATACTAAACTATCACTAAACATTAATCATTGCACTACACTATTACTAAACATTAACCCCTACATTATATTACACTAAACATTAACCCTTACACTACAGTAACACTAAACATTAACCCCTACATTATATTACACTAAACATTAACCCTTACACTACAGTAACACTAAACATTAACCCCTACACTACAGTAACACTAAACATTAATCCTTACACTTCAGTAACAGATAGTTGTCTCACTATTGTTCAAATTATGTCCAGTGCATCTACACCACCATGAATAGTGGTGTGGGTGCAACACAAGAGGTGGTTGTCACTGATTAGTAGGTTAGCGAGAGGACTAGCTCTCACGTTGGCTTCATTTTAATATTATTATATAAGCTTTCCAAATATTTTATATAATTGGATAGACTTTAAATTGGTTTCATATTATTAAAACTGTTCTATCTTTGTGCTGGCTAGTTTTTGATATATTAATATAGTTTTTATGTATGATATATTATTATATTATTTAAAAAAAAAACATTTTAAAAGTGTAAAATATTAAATCATTTGTAAAGCTTAACCAACCATATAAAATCAAGGTTTTGTTTTCTAAGGGTGAATAGAGGCAATATCTACATTGCTCACATACCTTATATGGTGTAAGTACGCTGAATCAATCCTATAATTTGATAGAGCAAAATACCAGAATACCTGGGCATCAAAGACTCTAGTATTAAAATACATTATTCTACATATTTTTCATATGGATATTTTTGGGTGGTATGGATATCATGCACTATTACTGACAGAGATTATTAATTCAAATGGCAAATGACAGAGGCAATTCAAGTTGGCCATGGAATTAGGCACTTTCTCTCTGAGAATATTCCATTGCTGCCTTTTTCAATAGTTAAAACCAATTATCATACGTGGTGTTGAAATGGGTGGTACCCTAAATTGGAACATCTATGGTTACTAGGAATTAAGGAGTAAACATATCTTTTTAAGCTTTCAAACCAATAGAAATGTGGGATGTGAGCATAACTGTAAATGTTCCTCTGAGTTAGTAGAGGACATGGAGGTCTCTTTCTTTTTTAGATTAAATTAGAACTGAAATGCCAGAAAGTCAATTCTTTGTGCCTTTAAGAGCAGCCAACTAGATAACTCAGACCTGAACAACTGATCTCAGATGTTGAGTGCAACTCAGTACTTAGTAAGTAGCAGATATGCTTTATGAGGCTTATAGTTAAACATTCATGTAGGTCCCTACTGTTCACAAGGGAAAGCAGAGAGAACAGGGTTAATCAAGAATTGTAGTTAATCTATTTGTGTGGGTTGTGTGATAAGGAATTTGGTGAAATTTCCATAATAGGATGTTTAAATAAATCATGTGTGCACATGCAGTCTTAAATTAGAGGGGCAAAGGTTTAAAAATAATATCAGGAAGTATTACTTTACTGAGAGGGTAGTGGATGCATGGAATAGCCTCCCAGCTGAAGTGGTAGAGGTTAATACAGTGAAGCAGTTTAAGCATGCGTGGGATAGACATAAGGCTATCTTAGATATAAGAGACTAATGAAAGTATTTTAGAAAATTGGGCAGACTAGATGGGCCGAATGGTTCTTATCTGCCGTCACATTCTATGTTTCTATGTTTCTATGTTTCTATTCTATGACTTGAGGGTTAGGAATTAACCCACTCAAATGAATCAGTTTTATACAAAGCTTTTTTTAGCCTTGAAGTAAAAGTCGTTTAAAAACGATTGTAACCAGAATGCATATTGATGCATGTTTCTCATTACACTTTTTTTCACTGAGAAATAAACCAGAATACAATGCTTATTGCTTAGGAAAGATCCTGGTGTGGACCTTACTTACTCTCCTTGTTCCTGGTCTAGGAATAATTAAGCCTATAACTAATAAGCACAATGCTAAACTTGTTACGCATGGCAAGTGATTTTTCAACTAATACCCAAGTTAAAATAAGAGACTTGCCTTCCTTTTCTTTTTTCTCATGAGAGAATGTAAAATTCTTGGACACAATTGTACTTTGTGGGCTTGATCATAGGTTTGAAAATTATGAGTTCAGACTTTATTCATAATATGAATAATATTAACTATGCTGAAATAATTTACAAGAAAAGAAAACAAAGTTTTAACAATGGTGCTACTCTCAGGTTACTGAAATTTTGGTGCACATTCAGATTTAACAAATAAACAAAAAACAAACAAACAAACAAACAAACAGCACATATATAATGCTGTTTAATTTCTATATTTTCATTTAAAATACATTATGTAAAAACAAAACATTGGGGGATCTATACAGGTATCTTTTTAAATATACAATACATGTATATGATATTATTTGCCATGCACTTAACTAATACATAATTTTATATAAAATTAGATCTGTTATTAGGACATTTTATCCTATCTCTGTGACTTGCAGTATAGTGCTTTTAATACTAATAACATAATCATGTATCTCTTTACAGAAGCCTTTATTTTGAGCAAAGAAATATTGGTTGATTTACAATGCAATTGACTTTGTATGTTCCTTTTCCGTATTCCCTTGTTGTGAACCAAAACAATTGAATTCACTGGCATTTCTTTAACCCCTTAAGGACCAAACTTCTGGAATAAAAGGGAATCATGACATGTCACATATGTCATGTGTCCTTAAGGGGTTAAAAAAAAGGAAAAATTTATTTTCAGACTGAATTGGCGTAATTTTGTCCATTCGCATTTTAAGTTCTAAAATATGGCAAGACTTGTATTACAGCCAGCATTTTGTACTAACGCTTAGAAATCAAGCATAATGTCTTAAACTTTTAATTCCGAATTATATTACAAGCATTTGTTGAACAGGTTGAACATGATGACAAAATGGATGGAAATATAAACAGTGCAATTCAAGATATGCATAGAATATGTAATAACAGTCGTTATGTTGAAATATCTCTCTTAGAAATCCAAATGGGGCACAGTCTCAGGAAAACAGATGGCCTGTCTTCACGGTCGATGAGCAGTCTTACCTTATTTTAGACACAGAAGACTCAAAGACAGATCGTAAAATGCGTGCCAAGCAGTGCAGATTCTGGAACAAATTTTATCCCAAAGTCCTACAAATAACAGGTAAAGAAACTAAATTAAAAAGTTGTAAAGAAAAACTGTCAGCTTTGCAAAATGAGTATATTTCATAGAATGGGAAATATCCCATGAATATATATCTTTTGTTTATATCACTACCCTTGCTTCTTTTTATTTATTAGAAAATATCATTTTTTTTCACTAAAAAAGCAAGTACTGCCATAATTTAGAAAATTGTATTTGAAACTGAAGGTCAAAATAGCTAAACTGTAAAAATTCTCCCAGTCAGCTATGTTTTCAGTTTGGCTATTTAGGTCATTAATTTGAAATTTACTTTTAATTCACTTTGAATTCTCTTCAATTCTCACTTTAGTGAATAACCCTGTATATATTTTTTAAAATGTTTGATTGGAGCAACACAATGAACACAGATGTCTATCAGGGTTATTCATAAAAGTGAGAATTGTAGAGAAACTTGGAGAATCTTTCCAGTTTGACAATTTTTTTCAGTAAGTTTAAATTCCTGACAATTCTCACTTTTGAGAATTACCCTCTGAAACAAATGTGTATATGTCCCCACATTAGGACGCCTGCCTATATTTATTAATATAAACAGATAGATAGCATCTATCTATCTATTTCACTTTTCCTTTTTATTAAAAGTCAATTATGACAGGATTAGAGCTAATGTGAAATCAATATTTTCTTTTTCACTCTCAGCTGTAATTGAAAATTGTAGTTGTAATGACTGACTTGAAATGTACCCTACATGCACAGAACATGCTAATTGAAAAAAAAAAGAGGTTATCACCACTAAACTAAAAGGAACACTCACGAGGAGTATTGGTAGGGATTGCTGACCCAAGTGGGCCCCCGGAAAGCCATGGGTCTAAATATTGCCATTTGTAACTGTGAGCCCAGAGTCCTCTGTTCTGTACCTGGCTAGAACAGGGGACCCAAGGCTAACAGTAATGAATGGCAAAATACCAAGAAAAAAATGGGGGTTAGAGGGGAGCTAAGAGTGCCTCCCATGAGCTGTGACTGTTGAATGCATTGCTGCACATTACTACAGCAACGCTCTGAACATCAGAGCTTGCAAGATAAACCCATATTACCTTCATCGGGATGAGGTGCAGTGCAGATACACTGGACCACCAGGGAAAGGGAGCAAAAGGCTAAGGGCCACAATGTGTGCGTGTATGTGTAAACGATTGTAGATGTATCTGTGTGAGTGTGTATCTATAAGAGTATATGTGTGTATTTGTGTAACAGTGTGTGTATCTGTGTATATGTGTTTGAGTGTCTATAAGTTTTATATTGTATGCATATGTGTAACAGTTTATGTGTATCTACAAGTCTATAAGTGTCTATATTTGTAATAATGTGTATTTGTGAACATATTGTATCTGTGAGTGTTTGAGTTTGTATATGTGTAATATTATAGGTATTTATGTAACAGTGTATATGTATCTGTGAGCATGAGCAACAGTTTGTGTGTATCTGTGAGTGTATAAGTGTGTATATGTGTAATTTTGTGTGTAGATGTGCAACAGTATGTGTGTGTATCTGACAGTATGTGTTACAGTTTGTATGAATCTAAATGTGTGTGTGTATATGTTTAACAGTGTGTGTGTTTTTATCTGTAACATTGCTTGTTTGTGAGCCAGTAAGAGCATGTCCATCACAGTGTGCCAGCTGCCACTTTACTATATACATATATATTATATTACGGAGGAGTGTGGAGCAAGCATTGGGTGGAGATTGGGCAGGTCTTTTCAACCCCGGGTCTCTTACATGCGTAGCAATGCACCTGTTGGTCACCAATACAACTTTTAATGCATTTAATAGGTTTTGGTCTCATTAATATGCTGTATTTTTTGAATGCTCAAATCTTTATAGGCTTTGCACAAAAAAATGTTTAGCAGAATGCTGTACCATAGACATGCCCTCTAACACCGGAAACATTATTCCTTATTAGTCCATATTAGGGCCGGACTGGGAAAAAAATTAGGCCCGGGCATTTTCCAATCAGAGCAGCCCCCTAAGAAGGGGGCGGGGCCAGAGAGGGTGTGTTTTGTCATCACTAATTACAAGCACGCCCGCTCTCAAAGTGAGCATGTTGGTTCAATGCTTAGAGCCCCGCTGAAGAACTCTGGCATTAGAAAAAGGCCCTGTATTTGATCTGCGTAGCGCAAGCAAATTTATTAACATGCTTGCGCTGTGTTTGCTTTTAAATTGTCTCTGGTGTCTCCACAAGTGGGATACCAGAAGACAAAAGGGCCAGGAAAGTGTATGGTGCATGTGTTTGAAACCTGCTTGTGGGATTGCATGTGTGTAGAGGGTGGTGTGGTATTTTGTAAATAGGTCAATTTCGTTTGTGTTTGTGGTGTAATATGTATGGCTAGGGGCTGTAGAGAGTGTTTGTATAGGGGGCATAGTGTTATAGGGTATGTAGCAAGTGTGTGTATACAGGCTGTAGTGTGTGTGTGTGTATAGGTGACGTAGTGTGTGTAGGGGTTGTAGAGAGGGTGTGTTTAGAGAATGTTGTATGTGTTTGCTGACAAGGAATGTAGTGTGTGTGTAGGTGGTGCAGTGTGTGTGTGTGTGTGTGTAGGAGATCTAGTGTGTAAAGGACCCTGAGTGTGTATAGGAGATTGTGTGTGTGTGTGTAGAGGATTAAGAGTGCATATAGGGTAAGGGATGTAGCGTTTATCTGGAGCGTAATGTGTGTAGTGGTGCAGTGTGAGGGGTGCTGTAGTGTGTGTGTGTGTATACATATATATATATATATATATTTGGACGTATTGTATGTGTGAGGGGCGCAGTGTGTGTGTATGTAAGAGGGGTGCTGTGTGTGAGGGTGTTTTTATCTGCCGTCACATTCTAGGTTTCTAATTTTCTTTGTTAACTCACTGAGGGTTATTTTATATATATTATATATATATATATATATATATATATATATATATGTGTGTGTGGGAGTGTGCTGTGTGTGTGAGTGAGGGTGCTGTGTGTCTGAGGTTTCGCTGTGTGTGTCTGAGGTTTCGCTGTGTGTGTCTGAGGGTGCGCTGTGTGTGTCTGAGGGTGCTGTGTGTGTCTGAGTGCGCTGTGTGTGTCTGAGGGTGCTGTGTGTGTGTCTGGGGTTGCTGTGTGTGTGTCTGGGGGTGCTGTGTGTGTGTCTGGAGTTGCTGTGTGTGTGTCTGGGGTTGCTGTGTGTGTGTCTGAAAGCTGTGTGCTGTGTGTGTCTGAGGGTGGTGTGTGTCTGGGGCTGTGTATGTGTCTGGGGTGCTGTGTGTCTGGGGTTGCTGTGTGTGTGTGTCTGGGGTTGCTGTGTGTATCTGGGGGTGCTGTGTGTGTGTGTCTGGAGGTGCTGTGTGTGTCTGGGGGTGCTGTGTGTGTCTGGGTGCTGTGTGTGTCTGAGGTGCTGTGTGTGTGTCTGGGGTTGCTGTGTTAGTGTCTGTCTGTGTGTGTTCTGCTGCTGTGTGTGTCTGGGGTGCTGTGTGTCTGTGTGTCTGGAGTTGCTGTCTGTGTGTCTGGTGGTGCTGTGTGTGTGTGTCTGGGGTGTGCTGTGTGTGTCTGAGGGTGTGTGTGTGTCTGGGGTGCTGTGTGTGTCTGGGCTGCTGTGTGTGTGTGTCTGGAGGTGCTGTGTGTGTGTCTGAGGGTGCTGTGTGTGTGTCTGGGGTTGCTGTGTTTGTGTCTGGGGGTGCTGTGTGTGTCTGGGGTTGCTGTGTGTGTGTCTGGGGGTGCTGTGTGTGTGTCTGGGTGATGTGTGTGTGTCTGGGGGTGCTGTGTGTGTGTCTGGGGTTGCTGTGTGTGTCTGGGGGTGCTGTATGTTTTCTGCTGTTTTATTTGTCTCAATTTTCCACTGTATACCAATTCCACCTATGTTCTAATTTATATGAACTTTGCTAATTTTTACCCAAAGGTCATATTCTATAAGAAAAGTTTTAGGATTTACCTAATCATTGATTTCCATAGGTATGGTTTTGCAAGGTCACACTATTTTAATTAAAGGTGGAACTGAAGAGACTAATCATACTTCATTAATGACAGAATTGTTTATGTCTAAGGTAGTCATTTCACAAAGATTGATGAGGTCAGTGTTAATAAGATGCATGCACTTGTAATTTGATTTCTGTGACCTTATCACTAAAAAAGTAAACATGTGCCAACAATATATCACATACAATGTCCTTCTAATGCCTTTCATATTCTGAATTCCTCAAAGGAATGGATGTGCTATATTGGATTGAATTTCAATGTAATTAATTAGATCAATTATGTTTGGTGCATATGTTCAAAGATGTGTTTTTCTGTTGTCACTGTTGTTGTTATTATTATGGGTTAGTTTATTGTATTACATGTCCTTGGACATAGAACAAGGCAGTTGTAAGGAACTGTCAATAATAATGAATTTTGGCATGATATAGCAAATGCTAATAAGTGCTACTTTGCAAAACTGTAAAGGATGTAGGCCTAAAAGATATTAGGTTTTTATTCCTTCTTCCTGCTTTCATTGGTGACATCGAAAACAAAAATCAGTGAGCAGCAACCATTGGCCGCTTATAACAAGTTAATGTATGGCTGCTTCTAGTAAAAAGTTACACTTCAACTGATATCAGAATACTAAGAAAACAGAACAAAGACCAATTTAAACTGTAAGGGATAATTGAGAAGTACCAACATGAAAATATGACTATTGCCAGTCCAGTTGATCAAATCAGCATATGTTAATTAACACTGCAACATGTCAAAAGTATTTTTTTCCAGATTTAACACCTTCACTATCGAGTTAATTGGAAAAAGTACAATGTATACAAAAGATTTTGCTGTTTTCAATGGTATATAAAATTATAAATAATAAAACTAGAAAAGCTACAATTTCTGTGGAAATTGTGTGAAGTGTTCTTGCCTCCACCAGTAGTCAACAACTGGAGTGGGCGGAGTTACTGGGTGGAGTGGCTTGAGTAACTGTTGTGTGGTTGGATTGGCTGGAGTAACTGTGGAAAGGTTGGACTGGGCAGAGTAACTGTGTGGAGTGTTTGGAGTGAGTAAAGATAGTACACATTACACTAACCAATTGATTTATCAAATTTAAAAAGTGCACATGGCAAGCTTGATAGAGTGAGAAATGCATTTCAACTTTTATTTATTTATATAGCACATTTAATTGCAACGTTGTTACTCAAAGTGCTTCACAGTTACATTAAACCATACATTTATAAAAACATTAGCAGGTGTACAAAAGGCCCTGTCTATGACATCACTTGCTGCTCCAGCCTGGCACAGGTCAGAGTATTTTGGCGGTTGCCATTTTCAAATGGTCGTATTTTAAAAACTATAAATCCTACAGCGAAGAGCTTTATATTGTGAGAATATATTGTGAGACCCAGACCTACATTTTGATGCATAGTATGTCTCTGAAATATAAAAAATGAAGGCACAGTCGCAGTTTAGAAATTGCCCTTCACATTTTAGCTGGCTAGAGTGGAGTTTCAATGAATGTCAATGGACAGCGTGAGTTGCAAACAAATGGTCATATTGCGAAAACTATCAGCACTATTGCTTAGCCGTGGACATTTTTAGTTGCAGCATGGATAGCTGAACGTTTTGATATAAGATTTGTGTAGGTGGGCTTGAAAATGAGGGAGTGGTGGCAGTTTAGAAATCATGTCCTGATTTTTCAGCTTTTGCCAGCTCCCACTCTCTTTTGAACATTTTTCCATTCATTCCTATGGGACCAATTTCACCACAAGAACCATGATATTCAGTGAACTATTCGGCGAAACGTTCCACAAAGTAATGTAACACCAATTGGGAACAATCCGCACGTTTCTGTATATTAATAGCAATCCGATCGGGAACAATCTACACGTTTTGGTAAATTTTTGTCTATGTAGTGTAAAAACTGTGGGAGGAGTTAGGGTGGTAAATTTGGCTATAATAAGAATAATAAGAACTAGAAAAGCTACAATTTCTGGGGTAATTGTGTGAAGTGTTCTTGCCTCCACCAGTAGTCTACAACTAGAGTGGGCTGGAGTTACTGTTATTATTTATTTATAGAGCACATTTAATTGTAACGTTGATGCCCAAAGTGCTTTACAGTTACATTAAAACATACATTTATAAAAACATTAGCAGGTGTACAAAAGGCCCTGTCTATGACATCACTTGCTGCTCCAGCCTGGCACAGGTCAGAGTATTTTGGCGGTTGCCATTTTCAAATGGTCGTATTTTAAAAACTATAAATCCTACAGTGAAGAGCTTTATATTGTGAGAATCACAAGACCCAGACCTACATTTTGATGCATAGTATGTCTCTGAAGTATTAAAAATGAAGGCACAGTCGCAGTTTAGAAATTGCCCTTCACATTTTAGCTGGCTAGAGTGGAGATTCAATGAATGTCAATGGACAGCGTGAGTTGCAAACAAATGGTCATATTGTGAATACGATCAGGACTATGGCTTAGCCATGGACATTTTTAGTGGCAGCAGAGATAGCTGAACGTTTTGATATAAGATTTGTGTAGGTGGGCTTGAAAATGAGGGAGTGGTAGCAGTTTAGAAATCATGTCCTGATTGTTCAGCTTTTGCCAGCTCCCACTCTAGTTTTGAACATTTTGCCATTCATTCCTATGGGACAAATTGCGCCACAAGAACGACGATATTCCGTGAACCATTCGGCGAAACGTTCCACAAAGTAATAGCAATCCGATCGTGAACAATCTGCACGTTTTGGTAAATTTTTGTCTATGTAGTGTAAAAACTGTGGGAGGTCTTGCTATGCAAGAACACTTAATAATATATATGTGAGATAACATTAAGTGGTCTTGCTATGCAAGAACACTTAATAACATAACAAGATATTTGTACAATACAAGGCATTGCAGGATAAGGGGTTTTCTTTCAACTTGCATTGGGTCCCCTTGTTGCAAGATTACAAAAAGTATATGTTAAGCCAAATATGATCTTGGGCCTTATATTGTCATTCCCTCTGTACCAGACAGAGAGGCTGACAAGAGCCATGGCTGATATATAAATACCAGAGCTGGGGTAGGGAAAATGTAAGTGGGGCTTAATGGGATAAATTCTGTTTTTTATAGGTGTAATGCTTTGTAATAAGTATAAATGGAACTCAACGGCAGAACAAAACCTTTCTTGGAGAAATCACTTTAAGATGGAATTCGGAATAAAGTGAAATAAATAGTATCTTAGAATATAATTTTAAGTAAACTTGAAAACTGTCTCTTTAAGCAAAGTTTGAAAATACAAATTGTCACTTTAAGTACTCTTGACTTCACAAAATCATAAATTCGAAAATTAAAGTCAATAATAATCCAGGTAATGAAGTATCATCAGCAGAAATTAGAAGTGAAACAGAATCCAATTATTATAACAGAAGCTGGCAGCAGGATAGATAGAATAAAGCAGCAGGACTGCAAGCTGAATGAACTTTATAAAGCAAGCTGGAGTAAGAGGCTTGGCATGAAAGCAATCTTCACTATTTTACCTTGAATAGAATTAATGGGAGCAGTCAGAGGAACGTCAGTGTCAAATCCTTGGTCAGTGCTTGGAGAGGTGGGCATGAACAAGGTAAGTAAGCAGAGGTTCGCAACATGAGTATTCAGAATAGGGGAAGCTCAGACGGTAATCTTGAATCACGAGGAAATCATTTGAGTGAGCAATTCAAATTTGCTACGGCTTCCCCGGAATAGCAGAGGTGTCTGACATCAGACGTGAGGGCGGAGTGATTGTCGAAAACTAGAAAAGACATTGAAGAAATCGCAGATCGGTAAGTATGACAATTGGTTTACAGTGCAAGATAAATTTTAGCCTTAACATATGTGGATTGGAAGGTGAGAGCTTGATGATAAATGAATTCTAAAAAAACAAGGGATATTATTCACCAAACAAAGAGATGGTGTGAATTAAGAGTTAATGCAAAACATGTCAAGAAAAGGGTTTTTCTAACCAAATCAATACTAGGCGTTTATAAGGATGAGAAAGAAATATTGCTGTGGCAACAATTAAGACATCTTTCTGTATACCTTAAGCATCTGGAATGAAAATGAGACACTTTTCATAAAAACATAAATGTTTTAGTGGAACCTACATAATGGTAACTACATAGATGACTGCATAAACAATATTTTGTAGTGTTTACATGAAACCTACAAAATCTATAACAAGGTACAATAGAAATATTAGAAATGCATGCAGATCCACACCAGAGCTTTATATATTTTTAATATACATATTTTAGTAATATGGTTTTTTTAAAGTACTAACTTATATTCATTCAAGATTGCTAAAGTGGTGTAAAGACTCCTTACAATTTGTATTCCTTATGGGTAGTATATATCTTGAGCTCAAAGGGAGCAAGAATTAGGATCTATGAAAAAGAGATACTGAATATTCCTTTAGGGACACTATAGGCACCCATGCCACTTTAGCTCATTGAAGTGTTCTGCGTACAGTGTCCCTATTGGACGTAGTGCTGCACTGTTAAGCATTACAGTTTTAGAGAAAATGCAATGTTTACAGTGCCGCACTAAGACTGACACTAGTGGCTGTCTACCAGACAACCATTAAAGGCGTTTCTGGAATGTGAAAGGAATGCGCTGCATAAGGACATCCAGCATCAGCTATTTCCTAATAGGAAAGCATTGTGCTTTAATGCTTTCCTATGTGGACAGGGCCGTCTTTAATAACGAATGGACCCTGGGCAAGTGTTTGCTTGGGCCCCCTGTGCCCTGCCGCTCTCGCCCCTCACTCCCTGGTATGCAATCACGGCATTCATCCCAACGCAGTGGCGGTACTAAAGTAGAATGAATTTTATTGGGACCCCCAATTGCAAGGTTGGACTAAAGGTAGAACCCCATCTGTCGTGCAACTCCAACAATGCTTTGACAGCTGGGACTCTACCAATTTCCCATGCTTGCAGGGTTGTATTTAGCACTGAGCCATGTTAGTATGTTTGAATGTAAGCATGTGTTTGTATGGAGTATGTTTGTGTGAATGTGTTTGTATGTGGTACTGGAGTTTGAATGCAAGTGTGCATTTATGTGTAGTGTTTGTTTTTGAATGTAGGAGTGTGCTTGTATGTAGTGTTGACGTTGGAGGTGTGTATTTGAATTTAAAGTTGCGGCTCAGATGCACAGGTACACACTCTGACGCACAAGCAGATACACAGATACATACACTGACTACATACAGATACACAGGCACATACACTGACAGACACACTGACACAGGTACATATATTGACACACACAGACACATACACTGGTAGACGTACTGACAGACATACTGACACAGGCACATATACAGACATACTGACACACAGACACATATACCGACATACTGACACACACACATACACTGATCAACATACTGACACATATACACTGACAGAAATACTGACACCCACACACTGACAGATATACTGACACCCACATACACTGAGAAATACTGACACACACACACAGGCACATACACTGACACACACAGACTGATATACTGACACACACACACACAGACATACTGGCACACAGACAGATATACTGACACATGCATACACATGCACTAACAGACATACTGACGCACTGACAGACATACTGACACATACACATACTGACACACACACATATATACTGACAGACAGACAGACATACTGACACACACACAGACATACTGACACACACACACAGACATTCTGACACACACACACACATACACTAACACACAAACACATACTCTAACACACACATACTCTAACACACACTAACACACACACTAACACACAAACACACACACACACACAAACACATACACTAACACACACATTTTTTTTTTTTTAAATGTAATCCACCCAGCCTCCTTACCTTTTGGAGTGCTGAGGGGATTCCCTGGGGTCCAGTGGTGCTGCTGGGCTCCTGGGCAGGTGGCTGGTCGGGCAGGCAGGCGGGCGCGCGAGGGAGCACTCAGTGCTTCCTCTTCAGCTCCCTCACGCGCCGCGTAGGGATGCCGGCGCCGGAAGATGACGTCATCTTCCGGCTCCGGCATCAGTGCGGTGCGCGAGGGAGCTGAAGAGGAAGCAGTGAGTGCTCCCTCGCGCGCCCGCCTGCCTGACCGGCCACCCGCCCGCCGGGGTCAGCGGGGCCCACGGGGCAGGTGCCTCGGGCCCCCCAAGAGAAACTGGGCCCGGGGCAGCTGCCCCGTTTGCCCCGCGTTAAAGACGGCCCTGTATGTGGAGGGCATTGGATCAGTTAAGTAAAAAAAGGGCACTCATTGTAAATTAGAAGGAAAAAAATAAACTTTGCCAGATTGAAAAAAAATCTGCAAAGAACAGAGCTAATAACAATGATTGACAATTATCTAAATTGGAGGCACCCAGTGGCACATTAAAGAGTATGGATTCTAAGTTTATTTTTATTTTTCACACCTTTAACCCCTTCCCGACCAAGGACATATCAGGTACATCTGACAAAAATGGTTCATAAGAACAGCTAATGTACCTGATACGTCTACGGCTAATTAGAGCCTTATTGCAGTGATGCCTCGATGTGGTGGCATCGTGCAATACCCTGCCTGACCGAGGGGCTCCCGAGTGGTCACTCCCTCAGGAGCAATCACTTCCAGGTTGCTCCACGTGGAGCCCAGCAGTAAGGCAGAGCATTGGAAACCATCAGACAGGCTTCCGATGCGCTGCCTGTGCTGAGTGCCTCGAGGCACTCAGTGAAGAATAATTAAAAATGAACCCCTTCCCTCCCTCTCCCATGTACTTACCTGATCGACGCCATTACCCCACCGGTGACTGGTGTTCTCCTGCACTGAGGGGACTGTCTGACAGCCCAGACAGTCCCCCCTCTGCAAATTAGGACCTCCAAGGGCCATGTGACCACTCTGAAAGAGCGGTCACATGGCCGCAATAGGTGTCCAAAGAACTGCCAGCAGGCAGTCCCCCTGCTGGTAAAAAAAGTTTAAAAAAGTAAAAAGAAATAAATAAAGTTAATAAATATATATATATATATATATATATATATATATACACACACACACACACACACACACATCGTATATATAACGTCCTGCTAAGTGTATTTTTTTATTAACATACTTATATTACTATAAAAATACACTTAGAGTAAAATTACACATATATATGTATATAAAAATACAAAAATACAAAATACCCCTGCACTCCAACTAGAGAAATAAAAATAGTACCTGGTGCTCTGGTGGCTTAATCATAAACAAAGTGAATATACCGGCACTCAAGGTTTTCCAGAAGATAACTTCTCCATTTATTGCGGAAGAAAAAATTGACGTTTCAGCTCCACTGGAGAGCTTTCATCATGTCCTGATGAAAGCTCCCCAGTGGAGCTGAAACGTCAAATTTTTCTTCGGCAATAAATGGAGAAGTTATCTTCTGGAAAACCTTGAGTGCCGGTATTTTCACTTTGTTTATATATGTATATATATATATATATATATGTATATAAACTATATATATATTGTGTGTGTGTGTGTATATATATATATATATATATATATATATATATATATTATAAAAAATAAAAAATAATTAAAAATAAATAAAAGTTTTTTTAAAATAATTAAAAAAATTTAAATATATATTTTATATATATATATATATATAACTTTATTCTAAGTGTATTTTGATATGAATATATATATATATATATATATATATATATATATATATATATATATATATATATATATATATATATAAATTATAGAATCCAGCGCACACGCTTATTCACTAAACAATGATTTTGAATCTTAGAGATTGTAATAGTTTTATTTAAAAACACCTCACCTAGGCAAAAAATGATTGGGGTTTAGTTACATTATATGATCATACATTGCATAAGCCTGCCAACTATGTCAAAGTACCCCATATTGGGGATTCTGTATTCTGTATTTTGTGTATTTTGGCCCCAGCAGCACCCTATAATGAATGCATGTTCAGGTAAGTGCAGCCCTCTTGGTTTTGTTTGTATATTGGGGAGTCCAGGCCAGCTCCTTGGTTTTGCACCCCTCCCTGTCACAGGTGCCTCATTCCAGGACCCTATTTAGCCTTGACTTGCAGAGAATCCCAGTAAGGAAGCATTTCCCAAGTAAATGGATTAATCTCATAAGAGCAAGCATTAGGCTGCTACTAGGATAGGACCTGCCGAATATGGAATACTTTGACGTAGTTGGCAGGCTTATGCAATGTATGATCATATAATGTAACTAAACCCCCATCATTTTTTGCCTAGGTGAGGTGTTTTTAAATAAAACTATTACAATCTCTAAGATTTGAAATCATTGTTTAGTGAATAAGCGACTGCGCTGGATTCTGTATTTTGTATATTTTGGCCCCAGCAGAACCCTATAATGTATGCATGTTCAGGTGAGTGCAGCCCTCTTGGTTTTGTATATATATATATATATATATATATATATATATCAAAATACACTTAGAATGAAATGATATGCATATCAATGTATATATAAATAAATAAATAAAAATAATACAAAATTCACATATGTCCATATACATATAACATAATTTCATAAATATACACGTAGACTTCAAATATATAAATATGTATATATATATATATATATATATATATATATATTTAAATTCTATGTGCATCTTTATGTTATATTTTGACATAATTTAGTAATTTTATTGATTGCAATTTGAGGGACCTGTCTGAAAATCCAGGTCGAAAGTCCAGAGAATTTAATTTGCTAGCACTGTATTGAACACTGTAACCTTCTATGACACTCTAGAACATGTACATGGGGGGTGCTGTTTTACTTAGGAGACTTTGCTCAACACAAATATTAGTGTTTCAAAACCGTAAAACATGTCACAGCGATACAGTTTTTTGCATTTTTCACACACAAACTGAACTTTCACTGAGGATATCATTGTTGTGATACGTTTTACTGTTTTGAAACACTAAAATTTATTTTCAGCAAAGTCTCCTGAGTATAACAGTACCCCCCATGTACAGGTTTTATAGTGTTTTTGAAAGTTATAGGTCAAAAATAAAGCAGTTTTTTCACATTTAAATTTTCCAGATAGGTTATGTTGCCGTTGAGAGTGTATGGTAGCCCAGGAATGAGAATTACCACCATGATGTCATACCATTTGCAAAAGAACACAACCCATTGCAAATGGGGTAGGCTCAGTCAAAGTTAGCGGTCATAATTGTTTTTTTGCATTTTTAATACACAAACAAATATAAATGCTAACTTTCGCTAGTGTTTGTGACTAAGTGGCTACTAGAAAAGACTGGACAGACACCATATTGAATACCCTGGGTTGTCTACTTTTCAAAAATATATGGTTTGATGTGGGTAAATTACATTGGCCGGATTCAAAAATGTTCCAAATACTACACGAGTGCATGATGACCAACTGTGAGAATTCCAAGTTGGAAAACTGGAATGTGCACCCTCCAAATAAGGTCTTTTAGCCCCCAGAGAACCTGACAAACCTATACATGGATGGTATTACTGTACTCAGGAGATGTTGCTGAACACATATTCGGGTGTTCTTTGGCAGTAACCCTTAAAGTTCTCAGTACATGTATTCTTAAATTGCTACATGTGTCAAAAAAATCACCAATTTTTTTTTATTTTTTTTTATTTGGCATAGATTTTGTCAAAATGGCTGCATGAAAAGAGTCAAAATACCCCATGTTTATTACCATAGGTTGTCGTCTTTTAGAAAATATATACATGTGAAGGGTTATTCTGGGACTCCTGACAGTTATTAGTTTTACAATGTAACTTGTGTCAATTTTGAAATAAAAATGGTTTGGAAATAGCAAAGTGCTACTTGTACTTAAAAAATGTGTGTTTTTTTATTTTTTTCATCATATTTTATCATTTTTTTTATAGTAAATTATATTATATAATGAAAATAATGGCATAAGGCTATCCTAACTATAAGATAAGGCCAGGGACTAATGAAAGTATTTAGAAAATTGGGCAGACTAGATAGGCCGAATGGTTTTTATCTGCCGTCACATGTTTCTATCTTTAGAAAGACCATTTAATGGCGAGAAAAATGGTATATAATATGTGTGGGTACAGTAAATGAGTAAGAGGAGAGTTACAGCTAAACACAAACACCGCAGAAATGTAAAAACAGCCCTGATCCCAATCAATAAGAAAATTGCAATGCGTCATGGTCATTAAGGGGTTAAATACATATTTTGTAAATATTCTGGATAAGTAAAGATAATGTGAAAAATCTTAGGTATTATGCCTAAAGAAAATTAGGCATAATAGTAAACACAGCATTTTAAAGCATAGATATTTGCTACCATTTGGACAACGTTTGTAACTACGATTTAAAAGCTGACTACTAGTAACAATGATTCTTTTTCAATTAATTTAAACACAAAGATACAAATTTAGATTAATACAGGCCTTGTAATGTTTTTCAGGAAATATTGATGAAGTAGAACAACAGTGGAAGGCTGAATTCCATCGCTGGAACAATTACATGATGGACTGGAAAAATCAATTTAATGATTACAGCAGTAAGAAGGAAAGCTGTGCTGGTCTCTAATTAATAGCTTTACCCTTTAAGGAATTACCATATTATGATTAGTTGGTACAAACACTTTGGTAGCCATTGAAAATTTGCCCATAATGTGCATTGAGCAAGATACGACAACACAACATTAAGTTCAGAGCATGGTTTAAGAAGAATTACTATCTTAAATAACATTCACAATTTAATTTTCTAATTGTATGATTTCAACATAAATTAGAATATGTTTGTATATACTGGAGGTTTTCTTTGAGTATTTCAGATCTACAGAGAATTTTGATTTTGTCTTCCCCTTTGAAAATGAAATCTTTTTATGGGAGAAATTAATTTCTTAGAGCACTTACTTTAAATTAGTACAGAGTTCATATTTCCCATATTATTTGACATTCTAACTATAGAGAACAACAGCATTTAACATACAGGCATACATCATGTGGATTATTTCTAATAAGCCATTAGCACACCATCAGCAATGCAAACTACGGGACTTGTAAACTTTAGTGCAGTAATAGTGGCTACTTTAAATGCATTAATGGTGACTTATAACATACCTTATACAAGGGTTCAAAATTTCCACTTGCCACAAGCCATTGGAGAGTGAAAATGTCTCCTTGGCGTGTATACCCTTGGTTGGTATACCATGGCTTTCAGCAGCAGGTAACTTTTAAGGCCTGGCTAGTAGCATAGGACTACACATTTTAAGCTATGCCTTATACTATAACATAATATACATGTCCTGGCTACCAATGTGCTTTGGTGTTATATTAGCAGAAGAAGGAAACATGATGTGTAATCCTCCTTGTAATTCTTCATTTCTATAGAAGCTGCCTAAACTTCACTTCCAATTCTGTCCTATGTATATTGTTGTTCACAATGCTGCGTACAATTTTATAGCCTCAGTTATAAAGTCAGCATGTGTTTCTGCCTATTAAGACGTGACTGGCTGACGGATTTAGACTTGCATTCCATATTAGGTGGAATTGACTGGATGTGTGGCATGTCAGAAACTGCAAAGCAAAACACAAAGTATTATTGTGAAATTCAAAAATACTGCCACCTAATTTAAAACATACTAAGTGGCAAACCATGTGTTATGTGAAAACAATGTCTTAGAAAACAATCTTAGAGCTGTGGAGACATCTATAAACCACTTGTATATAATCCATTTCTACACAAAGATTATATAAAGGAAGAATAATGGCAAGCTTTGCATCACGAGAACATAATGTCATCTTGAGATTCTAAACATATCGTAAACATGATTTGCATCGCAATTTTATGGTACAAGTTAATTCCTGGCTACATATTATTTAAACACCACAAGCAACAAATATGAACCTAATTTGCCTTTATTGATAACTCATATTTCACCCCCACTAGGACAACTAGAATGCATTACCTCATGAGCTGAGGTAAAAAAAAGTGCAGGAATACATGAGAGGCCAGGCTGTGAGGCAAGATATACAGCTCTTTTAATCAGAGCACTAAACACTTAACACTTATTTAGCTAGAAAGTGACCCACACGTCTGGTTGCTCTATTATTCAGTAAAAAAATGAATTAGGTTTTTAGCTGGTGTTGAAGTGAATAAAGACTTGTAGAAAAAAAGGGGGAAATCACGCTTTTTTTTTTTTTGTCAAAGCAAGTCTTGCGGATGAGATTCAAAATCCCATAATCCACAGGTTTCATTTCATTTATGTGAATTATGAGAAAAAGTGCACAGTGTAAACATCATTCATGTAATTTACTGAGTCTGACGATATGATCTGGCCATTAATATAACAGATAGATCGTGCAATATATGTGCCAGGGAAATAGAAATAGCTGAAAGTCAGTACATTATATTTGATTTTCTGAATTAGGCTTTATTTATGTATAATAAAAAGTATTAAGAAATAATACGTTTGTTATTAGAGTATGAAAGATGTTGTGTAAAATTATTGCACTTTGTTCAGTATGCCAAAACATATTGCTTTACCTAATTGCCAACACATCACCTTGAAGCAATTCATTTTTACTTTTCAAAAGCAATACATTTTCAAAGCTATATTTTCTCCACAGCTACCTCAGACAAATATATACAAATAGATGAAAAAACACAGTGCTGTCAATAGAAAACAAAAGTTTGTATTTGTAGATATTGGTTAGTTTTGTTTTAAGCACAATAAAAGCTTGTTTGTACTTTCAAACCATGGCACTATGAGATTTAATTGTAAGAAATATCAATATAATGTTTCTTGGCAGAGATATAACACATTAGTATTTTAACAAAGCATTTCTTTAGTCTGATGTACAGAGAAAAAAATAGCGTGGAAAAAATGTATGTGGAACTCATGCTATTAGAATTTCAAACAAACCCCTACTGGGGACCCTTCTGACTAAGGCTGGTGGGTAGTGCAGGATGGATCTAGAATGTCATGTGACTAACAATGGGTAACAAGGTCCACTACATCATAGAATACAGGGATACCAGACTAATTCACACATGACAGATTGTTTTACTAAAATGAGAATTGTATGGGGATTCACAGAAAATGTAATTTTTGAGGACGTGAGCGGAGGATCATAAATGCCATTTTATCACCACACAGCAGGTATGACAAAATAGATAAATTAATCAACTAGAATGTCTGGCAGTGCAACTTCTGCAAACAAAAAAACAGCAAGCAAAATACATTTACACATGTATAATATGATACAGTGCACTTAGTGGGCACAGAGCCATCAGATCTGCCCTCTCTGGTAGCTCTAATGCTGTAATGAAGCGTGACCTACAAAGGTTGCTGTAGACTGAGGGAGGAGGGAGGGGAGACCAATTACAGCCATTCTACACATATTTTTCACATTTCAAACTAAATTTTTAGACAGAACTACAACAATTAGAATATTTATTCTAGCATCATGTTGAATACAAAAAGGCATAATTTGCACCAAGGTCTCAAGTGTTAACATGCCTTTTAACAGGAAATCCATAGAACAGAATGTGATTTTTATTTAAGTCAGACTAGTTTTAAATTTTTGGAAAGTTTCTCATATGTAGTGCTTGGAGATGGTAACGTCTATCGGTGTATACTCAGCTTTAGAAAATTTACGGTAGTTCTGATCTGTTATTTGGGAGAGTGATAAAAACAATGTTCTAACATTGACATTTGAACTATATGAGTATTCTAGTAATTATCTGACTGTAAATGTGGATTTCAATTAAAGGTCAGTCTTTATCAAAGTTTCTAGGAAATCTACTATGGGTAATAGTTTATTGCATACCTCTCTTCCACTCATCACATGCATGTGGACATTCCACTTTTAAAAGGCTTTGTAGAATCTGCAAAAAAAAACAAAAAACACATACAACAAACAGCATGACGGTGGGCTAGAAAAAGATGGATATAGCCTACATACTTTCTAGGATAAGATGTAGCTAGGACCATGGACAATGCAAAAAAAAAAAATATATGCTAAAACATCTTATGTTCAGAATGTATTATATATATTTAAATAAACCTCTGAAACGTACAATGCAAACATGTTCAGCAATGCCATTAGAGGGTGTTTACACATTCTTTATACAGATAATAAGCAAGAGACATTAACAAAAGAAATATATAGATTCTCTAGAAGAATTGTTTATGTTTGCATCAATGGTCACTACTTTTCTCCTTAACCCCTTAAGGACACATGCCATGTGTGACATGTCATGATTCCTTTTTATTCCAGAAGTTTGGTCCTTAAGGGGTTAAAGGGACACTATAGTCACCCAGACCACTTCAGCTCAATTAAGTGGTCTGGGTGCCAGGTCCCTCAGGTTTTAACCCTTCAGATGCAAACATAGCAGTTTCAGAGATACATTTGGGGTTAAGCCAACCTCTAGTGGCTGTCTTCCGGACAGCCACTAGAGGCGCATCCGCGATGCTGGATGCAAATTTTGCATCCAACGCGCAGAGCATCCATAGGAAAGCATTGAGAAATGCTTTCCTATGGAGACTTTGAATGCGCGCACAGCACTTGCCGCGCATGCGCATTCTGCTCCACTGACGTCGGACGGGGGAACTGGCGTCGGCGGGGGAGGAGAGGTCACCAGTGCCGAGGGAGCCCGGCAATGGATAAAGGTAAGTTGCTGAAGGTTTTTTTTTTTCCTGACACTCTAGTGATCCATTAATAGCAGGAATTTGCCTCACCCATGTTAGGGCCATGCAGTGGTTCATTTTCAAATGATAATTAATCAATTAACTAATTTAAGCAGGGAAAGTGTAGAATTATTGGTGTAAACATATGCAAGTTTCATGTCTTAGGTGCTTATTCTATCTCATAAATATAATTTGCTGTTGTTATTCCTGTGTTTCTCTAATGGAGCTTTTCAACTCAATTTTTTTATGTCAGACTCTAGTACAGGGGTGCCCAAAAGGCAGATCCCCAGATGTTTCAAAACTACAGTGTCACATCCTGTTCTGTTCTGCGGAGATGTCTGGCTTTGGCTTCTGGTATCCAGTACTCTTTTTACAATTCTTGTTTAGTTTTTCTTGGTTTTCCTGGTTTTCTATTCCATGTCTGGTTTTCTTTATGCTGGGTTTTCTGGGTTCATTCCTGTATTTCGTTCCTGGAATGTAATTCAAAGAATCAAGGGAATTGTAGTTCAGCAATATCTGGGGGGCTGGAGTTTGAGAACCCCCGCTTTAAATGTTTGTTTTTTGTTGCCACACCCATTCCTTTCCCATTAATCCTTTTGTTTCAGTCTGGTCCTGCAGCAGTGGTTTCATTTTCTCTGCTCATTCCTTTGCAGGTTAGTGCTGTGTGTGTTTTACTATTGTTCATTTAGCAGACATTAGGCAGTTAGAGTAGGACCTGCCGAATATGGGGTACATTGAAGTTGTGGCAGGCTTATGCAATGTATGATCATATAATGTAACTAAATCTCCAGTGTTTTACATATATAGTACTTGTCTTGTATTCCCAGTTCATGTACAGTCCTGCCCTGCCCTGTTATTGTTTTCCTCATGTCTTGTGTACATGTTCTGGGTTCTGCTTTCTGTCTTGCTGCGGTTCTGGGTTCTCCTAGTTTTGTCTTGTTTTCTTGTTTGGTGTCTATTCTAGTCTTACCTTGTTTCTGTACTGGATACATATTTGCTGCAGAGCCTCCCTATTCAGATCCTGGGAGGTCTGCATATTGTCACCTGGGATCCGCAGTAGCTGCATCAGGGCCCTGGTATGTGGCTGCACAAACGCTGGTGCTCAACACCAGGGGGCGTGCGGTTACCCTGCACCAGGCCCTGATAATCCATTACCACGCTGAGTCTCCCATCATCATCAGGCACTCAGGGGTCCCGGTCTCCATCCGCCACCCGAGACATACAGTTTCCATGATGCTTTGTCATTATGTATTGTTTTTTACAATCTCGTTTTTATTAAAGATTTTGTAATACAAACATGAGTTTGTAGACATATTGAACATTCATAAAGTGATAGCTGTGATGCATATTCTAATGTTACAATAAGTAGTTTTCCAACATTTTCCTAACCATAATGCGGATACCCTCTGCTAATTGGATTTACAAGAAGGCAGTTTGGGCAGCTTGTATGTGTGCAGCCTGGTCTTGTCTCTGGAGTTGTCGCGTCAACATGTGATTCCAGAAGGTGCCCAGGAGAGCAGTCCATGTCTGCCAGGGGATGTGTGGAGCCCATAATCAATGCTGGGTGGGTGAATGGAGAGCAAACATGCCTTCGGAGCATTCTGTAGAACTTATCTGTGGAGCCTCCTGTTAAGTCCTCCACAGCCTCAGCCTCTCTGTGACACATATTAGCTAGTCGCTTACTGAGTATTTGACCCTCTGTGCACTAAATAGGGTGTTCCCTTTGTCAACTAACTTTCTCTGCCATCAGCGGACCCATGAAGCCATCATGAAGTGGAGCTGTGTAGATGAAGGGGAGTAATGGAAGTTTGGAGTGCACCGTTGCAGCTGGTAATATATTCAATATATTCAAGGGGCAGTATGTAATGGAGAAATAGGATATCTGTTCAGATAGCGTAGCAGGGGGAGAAGTTAGGGAAAGGTCTTTGCAGCTGAGAAAGGTAACATAAATAATATAGAAGAGGGAAGAGTGCGCAGGCCCAGGCAGGTCCTATACAGACCGCTCTCTATCTCCTGTAGCCAGATAATACTTTTTTCTGGAGCATAAGTACAGCAGCTACATTCTCCAGATTTCCTCATGCTTGTTGCTTTGTCATTATAAAGCATTCTAAAGGCATGTAAAGCTTCATGGGAGTTCTACATCTTGGGCATCCCTGCACTGTAATATCAAGTGGTGTAAGAAAGGGCTGGTGAAAAAGCTAATGCCCTATAACAAAGGCTAGACTCTAGAGGGTACATCTTGAATGGGAAATAGATGTGTTTTGCATAAATAAATAATGCTTTAAATACAAAAATATTGGACAGATAAGCAATTGTTCTTTTATCTTTTACCAAATTTCCTCAACTAAGTAATTATTGTAGCAATAACTAAATATTAGAAATCAAAAAGAACTCCAGGAGATATTAAAATTTGCATGCATTTTGTGGTTAATGTCTAAGGGATTGTTTCCAATCTCAGCCTCTATTTCATAAGCTTTCCAAAATATGCAATACTGTTAGAAAACCTTTCTAAATTATTAAAATTAGCAAGGGATAATGACTAAATTACACAAATATGTATCCCGGACACTGTAGTTCTAAAATATCAGTTTAGGTGCCGGCCCCCTTACCTCCGATTAAAAAGGTGAGTTTACTCACCTTTATCCAGCGCTGTGCGGGTTTGCCGCGGCTCACTCCGCCAATGCACCACCCAATTGAAAAGCATTGGAAGACTATCACGCTGTGCTGCGCCAAACAGCATGTCCTCAATCAATGCAGCTCCATGAGAAACGTTCAGTGCCTCTATGCAGAGTGTTGAGATGCTGAACATCCGTGCATCACACTGTGTAACACTAACTAAGGAAGCACCTCTACTGGCCGTCTGAGTAAGTCCCTAGACAGTACTGTAAACACCTCCTTTTCTATGAAAAGGAAGTGTTTACATTAAAAAGCAAGCAGGGACAGGTAGTGGACACCAGAACAACTGTATTAAACTGTCATTTTATTGGTGATTATAGTGTCCCTTTAACAAGAGATAATGACAGTATACACCCGGTATAGGCAGCCTTTGGCACTCAGGATGTTGTGGACTACATCTCCCCTGATGCTTTGCCAGCATTGTGGCTGTAAGCGAATTATGGGAGATGTAGTCCACAATATCTGGTGTGCTGAATATTGCCTACCCCATGGTATATACCATGAAATAAACTGTGTTATACCAGATACATAGCTATGTCATGTTTGAGGGTCATTTCTTGTATATAAATGGCTCATTTAAATTACACATGCACTTTACTTGTTTGAAGAATTATTTTACCTTTTATATTAGATTTCTGACTTTTTCTTTAATCTTACTGCCGTTTAACACATTGTTTTTTAACATATTTTGATATGTTTGTTAGAAAATGCCATATAGCTAGCATGTATTTTTTTCCTATAGGGTGTATTGGGAGCTGTTATTCTTTTAACCAGGCAAGATGTTGGGGTTAAATTTTAAGGGTTAGTGGTAGCTGCTAATGAGTAGGGAAAGGGTTGGAAACAAGTTGAAAATCTGTAGCAGTTAGTAACACCCATGTAGAATAATGGGAGCTGTTATTTGTTACTTAGTGGCTGGCTACAACAAAGCTACAGGCAGTAAATACATGTCCCTACTGGTTGGCAAACATTACCTATTCACCAACACACTTTGAGTAGCGTCTTGCACGCACTTTATCGAGTAGAAACTGGCAAATAAACATTTGCAACATTGAAAACGAGCCCCTTGTGTTTTGATTTAGTTTTTTTCAAGCTTTGTGTTTTAAGGAAATATGTAAAAAGACCTATGTATCTAATTTCCCTTTATAAGCCACTGTGCATACAGTATCATGCACTCTATGGTTCAATCTCTTACATAGAGATGGAACTTGTAAAACCGTGCTGCAAACTGTGCCTTTTTATTTCATGATGTGAGAATAGAAAATTCTAGATTTTAACTAGCCAGTCAAGTTCATAAACTCTTTATAGAATGCCGATGGAACTTTTCAATTTTACCAATGTGTCTCACCATGAACTGATGTGCATAGCCTGTCATTTGCAAGTTTATCACCTATTGTTTTTTGGTATTGCTTTTTTACACCAGGTATTTGGGAATCCTTGTTGATTTACTGCTGCGATTGACCATACATTATCAAGAGTGCCTAGACACTTTTCTTTTTACATGTCATTTGCAAGTGTAGGATTGCTTGACATATGAATAGTCACCTTTTCAGCATATGCTTAACAAAAATCTCCCCCACAAATACTCGGACACCTTTATTTGGGAAAAGCATTACAGCTTTAATAAATATAAATAATACTTAAAATATTTTAAGGTCATATATTTTCATAACATATCAACTGCCCAAGCTGAAGGCGCCAATGACCCTTTATGAGTCTGCTAAGCAAGTGGTCCCGAGCTGCCACAGTTCCGCCAGACAAGGCACTCCTTCTGAGCCCCCGGAGCTTCTGCCCAAAACCGCTTCCACTGAAAACGAGAGAGTAAGTCAGCCACTACATTCAACAACCCAGGCACGTGACATTCCCTGAACACAACATTAATTTGCATGCAAGAAAGAACAAAACGGTGAAGAAGCCGAATAGCAGGAATAGAAGAAGCAGATAAACCATTAACAGATTCGACCACTGACATGTTGTCCGTAAAAAAGATAGTCTTCTTCCCTCAGCTGTCGCCCCCACAACACCAGCGCCACCACTATAGGAAAGAATTCCAGGAACGTCAAGTTGTAAATGAGCGAGCTGGCCTTCTATTAATCCAGCCATGCTTCAGCACACCAGTGTCCCGTGAAATAAGCCCCAAACCCGGTGCTTCCTGACGGGCCTGTAAATAATTCCAAATCCGGCAAAGAAGCCGCTGGTTCCCGGAAATATACATGCCCATTAAAGTCCCGCAGAAAGACCTGCCACACATCCAGATCGACTTTCATGAATGCCGACACCCGAATGGAATGATGCGGTGACACTACCCCTCTGGTCGCCCTAGAGAGGAACCTGTTGAACACCCGTCCAACAGGGATCACCCAGAACTCAAAGTTGAGCTGGCCCACCAATGACTGAAGCAACCGCAAAGTAACATTCCTTGCTTCCCGGACCTCCGTCACCGCCTGCAAGGGTGCCAGCAACATGTCCTCAGGCAACCGACATTCACCCTGGACCGAATCTATCTCCAAGCCCAGGAAAAACAAGCAAGTAGTCGGCCCAACCATCTTGTCACCCGCCAGCGGTATTCCGAAGACATTCATGACTCATTCCTAGTTTTCAACCCTATGCAGAAATATAAGTGCTCAAAAGTGCAAATAAATATATTATACATACATATTCATCTTGGTTAATATAGCATAATGAGATCCTCAAAGAAAAAACAACAGAATAATAGTGCAAAATGTCAAATTCATAAATACAAGTAAATATAAAATTCAAGATAGAAGGCAAACTCACACTTTACAGAGCTACTAAGAGCTCTGCTGTATAGCACGTGGATGGTACAATCCCCGTCTTAGGATATGTAGATGTTGGCCGTATGGGATATCCAAAAAAAAAGTAATTGCTCTGGATACTGTAAGTAGGATATCTTCATTTTAATATTCCAATTCTGGTGTTTATACTGTACCATTGTTTTTTTGTATTTTTTCTTTCTTCCTATATATGGTTGCTGAGTCTGGATATCCCATACAGCCAACATCTACATATCCTAAGACAGGGATTGTACCATCCAAGTGCTATAAAGTGTGAGTTTGCCTTCTATCTGGAATTTTATATTTACTTGTATTTATGAATTTGACATATTGCACTATTATTCTATAGTTTTTTTCTTTGTTTCCTTGGAGGATCTCATTATGCTATATTAACCAAGATGAATATGTATGTATAATATATTTATTTGCACTTTTGAGCACTTTTTTGGTGCGATTTACCACTTTTCTTATTCTATATTTCAGTTCACTAAAAGCAGGTATTGGGAAATCCTGCCGGTTCACTGCTGCCTCAAATTTTGTTATATAGAGAGTGCCTAACCCATTCTTTATTCGATTAACCCTATGCGGCACAACTCCAAACCTGTAAGTAATGGACCATGAATCTAGTGCCTGCCTCGAATTTGACCACCCACTCCAGAAAAGTACTGAACATGTCAAAGTACGCACACGAGATGGAACAACCCATCGGCAAACACAGATTGACTAAATACTGCCCTGATGACAGTCGAGGTGAATGGGCAATAACTGAATAGCCACTTCCACGTCCACATTGGCCATCAACGCCCCACTTGCCCGCACACTGAACCAACTCAACCGCTTGGTCGAATGATGCATACGACACCGCGGAATGCAAAAGGCCCTCAACCAATTCCCAAAAGTTTTGGGTATCTTACGATAGCGGCACCTTTTCTCCTCTTCCTCCTTCTTGCCATTTTTTTATCCTCTTCCTTCATGTCCAAGTATTTGTCCAGAGGAAGAAGAGAAAAGATCTCCAGAAATTTCCCCTTCCATGTCCTCTCCCTTAGCTCTGGTTGGCCGAAGCCAACTAAAGCCACTGTACCCCGGGCAGAACTGCTACTAGCAACCAGAACCGCCACTGCCCACACACCCCTGCCTAGGTGCCCAAACCTGCCCGAAGCTAACGCTTCTACCCAAACCCCTGCTCCATTCTAGAAAGGACTTTAGACACTCTAAAAGATCCTCAGAAGGCTTAACAGAAGATGACTCACCATTGGAACCTCTTGCTGCTGAAGACCGTGAGGCAGTATCCAGCCCACCTCCATTCAAGCCCAGGCGCGATGGTGCCTCCAGCCGTAGATCCACATCATGAGGTCTTACCCGGACCGTAGGCGACCGTCTTGGTGACCTGGAATGAGGAAAGACTCTGGGTAGGCCGTCCGACTGAGTCCTGGCCTCCTGACCACTATGGCTGTGCCCGTCCCCACCATCAGTTCCTCATAGCCACCATGAGAACTCCTGCCAGGTGAGCCGAATCTAACAGGGGATCCCAAATTATGCTCCCAGGTAGCTACACTAGGGGACCTACCCACTGTGATAGCCCGCTTGGTCGCTATGGCAACTCATTTATAGTGAATTTATAGTGTGACCCCTGTCACCCAGCACCCCCGGGGGCCTGATGTGATAGTCCTGAGTGTGGCGCTCCATGCCCACCCGTGATGGGGGTCTGTCCCACTGCCTGCTCCATGCTCTAATGGGTATGGATACCTGCCTACCCAATTCCCAACTCAGGTCCCCATCCCTGGGCTCTCTCCTTGGGTCACCTCTACCCACGCTAGGCGACCTGGACGCCGACCTGTGAGGTGACCCTGGGGACAAACTTCTATCCCATGACCTGCCTTTCCACCACCCGCTTGCTGCCCCGTGACTTGCGACCTATAGGGATGGAGGACGACTCACGAAGTGTGTCACCAGCTGGAACCACATGTCCAACAGTGCTCCCAGCGCCTCCATTGCCTGCTGCAGAGCCTGCTGTGGCTGTCCCTGCCTTTCTCCCTCCAGCCACTCACCTAGAATCATGCTCATTCCTGTGAATGCAGGCTGAACACGACATCCTGCCTCCATGCTCACCTGTTCGTGGCCCAAACGTTCACCTCCAGCCGAATCCAGTTCATTGCCAGACCGTTCCCCTCCTTCGCAGCCCGAATGTGCAGTCTCAGGAAGACAGCCAGACCATGTGGCAACACGGCAACACCGGCCATGACCTCCCAAACTCCCGCAGCTCACCGTAGTCTCGGGCCTTGGATTCAGGAACTGACTCAACCTCTTCCTCCTGCTGGAGCCCGCACTGGGGCTAAGACTTTGCGGCAGTCGGGTCCTCCGTTTGGGATGCCCAGGGGGCACTATGGCCGTCACTGTGGATCCTGCAGCACTAGACCCAGCCAGGAAGCCAGGAAGCCAGGAAACTCCTCTCTGCAAGACAGCAGAATGGACACCAGCCTGCTAAGCCTCCATTCTTCAACGAGCATCACCTGCAAGACAAAAGACAGAGATACCACACAGTCTCCACAAAATAGGTAAGTGAGGATTAATTAAGATGGCTCCTAATCTAAATAGGCCACTATATATACTCTTCTAGCATAAACCCAACCTCCTGTTATACTAGCCAGTCCTCCCTGCTCCCCAACTACACCCCTCCTATGCCTGTCTCCTAGGAATATCAAGGCCCATTCCTGTTAGCTGCGCTGCTTCATGGGCTACGATCCATGTGTGGTATTCCTGCATCTCTGTCTCCATTGCCTTGTCTTATAAAAGCAAAGGCACATACGTATACACTTTATGGGTAGGGAAGTAGTTAAGCGCATCAAATAGCTTTCATTTTTGTCTCCAAACCAGCCATATAAAAGGACAAATAATACAAAGGTTTTTATGTCTTCATTTTTTAAATTCAAAATAAGTATTCATTTTTACCCTGCATCAGAATTTTGGTTTTGACAGGTGTTGTATTATGTCTCAGATTGTCAACTGATCTGAGCAGTTCCCTCTTCACCTCCTGTTGTCATCAACATTATTTTGTCAATTTATTTCTGCATAGCTCTCCATTATAAAAATGTAATGCACTGTAGAAAAAAACGTTGGGTTCCTTTATATGATAATAATAATAATAATAATAATAATAATGTAATATTAAGAGTATTCAGCAATGTGTGCTGGGTAAAGGATAATGAAAGTTAATTGCCAAATAGATTTTGCTGCCAATTTAACTTTGCAGCAAATCTATTAAAAGACCTGCTCAGATGAAATAACAACAAATTAGCTTGAATACCGAATGCTTTAAGTTACCAGTTTCATAAGATGTTCATTTCATAAAAAACAACGTGGGTTCACTTCACCAGAAATAGTAAGGCTTGTTCACTAAACTGCAAATGCTGATTAATTAAAAAATGTGATGGAAAATGTAGTCTAATATTGCCAAGCTATAACTAAGTTGGAGAAGGATTCCAAATCAGCTACTTTGAGGAAACTAACCGATTACAGTAATATAGTATGGTATGGTCTTCTTGACCCCCATTGGCTTTTTATTTATTTGTTTATTAAGTATGTAATGTGGCAGCTGGCTAGCAAGCTCTGTCCAGTCACCACATAATTAACTCTTGTGTTGCCAAAGGTTTTTTATCTATTGCCTGCTGGCTGCTAGTGCTGCAAATAGTTTTTCTTTATTAAAATCCAGGCCTGGATTTGAAGCATTCTATCAGTCTTTCAGCGGTAGGTTGGTGTTCAGTCTGGCTAAAATCTAGACAAAATTCAGGATCTTTTGGGGCCTGAAACACCAAATCTGGGCATTGTTGAATATTATAAATGTCTGGATTTCGAAGTAGAGAGTGGTTTTGCCCTGTTTTGTAAGAACTTTACTACTATCCACTGCATGTTGGATGGACATCAGTGAGTAGTAAAATGAAAACTCCTTAAATAACTAATTTAAATTAACAGAAAGAAAAAAATGGGTCAAATATGATGCACCTAATTTTTGCAAGCTTGCTGTAAACTTACAAGTAGCAGCCTATGAAATAAGGTCAAATATATTTGTACTATTTTCATGACTGTATACAATACACAATATAATTTATGAAATATGTTGTATCATTTCAACATTCTATAAATCTGTCAAAATCAGCAGATACATAAAGAAGTTATGGGATTAATAGTAGAATCCTGATGACAGAATGAAACAGTGAAAAAAACAATGGAAAAAAAAACCTATAAATTTCACTTCAAGTAACCAAACTTTTTTGTGAACAAACCCCAGGAGAATTTTTGGTCTTGTAATATGTATTTTTAGTTTATTTTTTCATTTTTTTACATATATTTTCATGTTATTCTCACTATATATATATATATATATATATATATATATATATGATACAGCTTGTCTTTTATGAGTGACACAAATCATTTAAATAAAATAAATATTCTGTGTTGATTTACCTTATACAACCTGATAGTAACCGCAAAGTAGTCCAGGCACTCAAGGTCTTCATACATCAGATTTATTTGAAAAACAGGACAGATACAGCAACGTTTCGATCCCTTCGGGGATCTTTATCAAGCTTGAGCTTGACCTTGAGTGCCTGGACTACTTTGCTGTTACTATATGGATTAGGGGTTTGCTAGCCTTAGGTACAGTGCACCGCGGTCTACAGGTGATGAGAGTGCATGTCCCTTCTTTTTTTTTGCCATAAGTTAAATAACCGGAGTGATTAATGTTAAAAGTGAAATGTAAGCAACAAAATGTCACAACCTTGTTTTTATCTTCTTGGGATTTCCTATTTATTTTGTCATCTTTAGTATACACACAAGAATCAATGTATGAAAATATATTTTTGAATAAATGTTAATAAGAAAAAAAACCCTGATGCTATTATTTGCACCTTCATATTATCTACTACATATATTTGCATATGTTTGATATCCTCTCTGTTGACTTGACACTTTGAGCGTGTTAAATTCTTTAATTTCCAGCAAAGATGAAATAGCCATGAGCTATATAATCTGTTTGATGCAGCTGTTGGAAGCTCAGAAGCTTCTACGTAATACAATTGGAACTGAGAAGTGACACCTCCACTGACATCTCATTTGCAATTTACCACCAAGAATTATCTTCTGTAGGTAATCACTTGTTCTAGAAAATACTTGAATGCATATGTTAGATAAAAATATTAAGAAAGGAATTAATACAAATCCTACCATATGAAAACAATGAAGAATGAAGAAAACATATGAACTTAATAGCAGGGAAAAAGTATTTGAAAGAATATATCTTTTAGTGATGTTTTATCACGTCATTATCAGTTTTGCTTTCCTCAAGTTTAGAGCACAATATTCTACTGAAGTCATGGGAATCTCAGTGAGTGTGAATATATAAAAACAAATATGAAAACAAGTATTATATTATGCCATGTGTGAAAAAATGCAGAAACAATAACAGAGATGCAACAGTTTTGTTATGATGACTGGGTATCTTCCTAACCAAAGCACACAGACCCAGGCTAGGACAAATTTTTGACCAAAGCATTTTGAGGCATAACAGACCAATAGGAGGAAGAGGTGTGTTGACATCACAATCGACAAGCTGAAGAGCTCTTGCATGGGGAAAATGTCCTGTTTTTTGTTCATACAGTGCAAGTGAATTAAATTGCACACTTGCTCTGTGTATTCTGGTGCTCTATTTCTGGTGTCCCAAAAAACATAAAATAGTGTTTGGAGAGGCTGTTTTATGCATATGTAGGCTGTTGTGGTGCTGCATGTAGTTGAAAACTGCTTGTGTGGTTGTATGTGAGGGTGGCTACTTGTAGGGTTTGTGTGGCGAGTGTAGGCTGCTTATGGTGTTGTACATTTGTGAGGACTCTGCTTGTAAGGTTGTGTAGAAGGGATGCAACTTGTGGGATTGTGGATGTGGGGAAAAGTTGCTTGTGTGTGTTGGGCAGGCTGCTTGTGGGGCTGTGTGTGAGGATGGGGTTGTTTGCAGTGTAGTATATGTGTGTGCATGTGATTAGTTACTGTGTGTTTCTGGGGTAAATAAAGCTGTAGCATATATATAGGGGAAATCGTATTTGATATATGTTAATAGTATTTTATGTGGGGAGGTAGGGGTTGTAGTATTTGTGGCGGTGACATGGGCTGTTTTGTATGTCAAGGGGACAAATGGGCTTTAGTATGTGGGGTATAAAAAAATGAAAACAAAAACGTATTTTCTTCCCTCCTTCTTGCTTATCTGGCAACAGGGAGGGGGAATACTAAGCCCCACTGGTCCAGTAGGTGTATCATGTGTTTTCCACTTACAGCAGGTTCAAACCACTCAAACCAATGGCTGGTAACAGATGGCAACACTCGAGGGAGCAAAGCTAGTGACCCTCAGAAGGTGCAGACAAAATGTAAATGTTCAGACAATGATTAGGCTCACTGGCTACTGAACCTGGCTTTCACCCTTTATTTGCTTTGCCTGTCTGTTTATCTGATAGTCTTTCCATCCTTGTGTCTTAAGTAACAGAACACACACACAAACACACACACACATAAAGTTACTTTAAATCACCTATCTTAGCAAACAAATACGGGGTTACACCACTTGGCCATATTGTGTTAAGCCCACCAATAAGTCACAGTGGCTCCTGCACTAATTTGAAAATTGAATAAAAACATACTAACTGCAATACTTACTGCTTAAATTGCTTCCAGAGACTCTGCTCAAGTTTATTCTTTCCTGTGGTCACCTCCAAGAGTGATGGGGTGGGGGCGCTCAACCAAAAAGGAATGTCATCTGGATTCCAGACAGACACAGAAAAATATAGGAAAGAACAAGTTTGAGGATAGTGCAAGTTAATATTTATTAAATATATTTGGAAAATAAATATCCCCTGATGGTCAATGGTCTGCACTTCTGCCTGGCACAGACTATATTAATCACTTTCTTGTAGTTTTGGGGCTGTGTGATGGAATCAGAGCAGGCAGCTGGATTCCCAGCCAGTGATCTTAGCCCCCCACACAGTACCAGACTGAAAGGAGCCTGCACCTGGTGTAGGTGCAGATCATGTTCACCACCACAGACCACCAAGACCATCATTAACGTCACCCCAATGGATCTTTGTGGAAAATAGCATTTCTTACGAACTGAACCACTAGGAAAAATATTGCTTCTATAGAACCACCAGGAATTTATTCCCCTTCTTGCAAAAAATTTAAGCATGTAAGAGGACAAACCATAAACTGCCAACACAAGAATCGCATATATCACACACAGCCAACTCACACCACATAGAAACATAGAATGTAACAGCAGATAAGAACCATTCGGCCCATCTAGTCTGCCTAATTTTCTAAAAACTTTCATTAGTCCCTGGCCTTATCTTATAGTTAAAAAATAAGACAATGATAAATGCAGTTCGTCTCAGAATGTACTTAAGATTAGCTGCATAACCTGGAAATATATATAACGGTATAGTGTAGTCCAAACCCTGGCTTACTAATCTATAGAAGCTGTTAGAGACCTATAGTAAGAAAATAGTAAAAAATAAATAAAGTATATACAAGTGGTACTGAAATTCCATGCCAACCAGGGATGTAATCGATAGGGATATCAAGATATAACCTATACCATAGCTACACCCTAATTATCAGCTTTATTATAATTTGCTATTGGGGTATGAGTATCCAAAAAGTTAAGTCCCATACAATTATCTAGGAAATACATTCTGAGACGGACTGCATTTATCATTGTCTTATTTTTTGTTTACTTGGGGTTAAGCCCCTTCGAGATACCTGGAGTCTCGTTTCGGTACACTAGTCCCTGTGTGGCACCTGTTAATCTCTCCCCCCCTTTTTTTTCCACTCTAGGGGCAGTACATACAGGTGTGTACACAGAGACGTAGAACCTTGTGTTCTTTGCTTTTTTCTTATCTTATAGTTAGGATAGCCTTATGGCTATCCCACGCATGTTTAAACTCCTTTACTGTGTTAACCTCTACCACTTCAGCTGGAAGGCTATTCCATGCATCCACTACCCTCTCAGTAAAGTAATACTTCCTGATATTATTTTTAAACCTTTGTCCCTCTAATTTAAGACTATGTCCTTTGTTGTGGTAGTTTTTCTTCTTTTAAATATAGTCTCCTCCTTTACTGTGTTGATTCCCTTTATATATTTAAATGTTTCTATTATATCCCCCCTGTCTCGTCTTTCCTCCAAGCTATACATGTTAAGATCCTTTAACCTTTCCTGGTAAGTTTTATCCCGCAATCCATGAACCAGTTTAGTAGCCCTTCTCTGAACCCTCTCTAAGGTATCAATATCCTTCTGAAGATACGGTCTCCAGTACTGTGTACAATACTCCAAGTGAGGTCTCACCAGTGTTCTGTACAATGGCATGAGCACTTCCCTCTTTCTACTGCTAATACCTCTCCCTATACAACCAAGCATTCTGCTAGCATTTCCTGCTGCTCTATTACATTGTCTGCCTACCTTTAAGTCATCAGAAATAATCACCCCTAAATCCCTTTTCTCATATGTTGAGGTTAGGACTCTATCAAATATTCTCTACTCTGCCCTTGGGTTTTTACATCACACATATCACCAACATGCAAAAAAAAAAAAAAAATTCAATGCAGCTTTCACACATGACCATCACATAAATCAAACCTATCCTGCAGAGCTAGTCATAAAAGACATCACAGACAGCCAACACAGTCAATATATGACACATATACATCACATTTACCATCACAGAGTACATCACTTCATAACCATGTCAAGTTTATTACCATGGAGTACTGTCATAGTGTTATTCAAAATGCACAATTCTCTGTTTTATAGCTGTAGAGTTGTTATACACAACTATGCACATTATTGTGCATTTGCTTGTGGAGGAGCTCTGTGATGTACTCATATACACTGCCCTGCACATTACTGAATGTTTTAATGCCAAGAAAGTCAGGGTGCATGAGGAAAACCCAGAGCTACAAAGCAATATAACTAACAGTATTGTGTGTCATTGAGGAGTCCAATAAGCTCCAAAACAATAATCTTTTTTTTTTTAAATTCTTTATTTTGCTGTGCATTGAGTAACATTGCTGCATGTATATCACTGTAGCATTTCAAACGTTTTCATATAACAAGCATTAGACAAATACAGTGAACGTGGTTATGCACATATTTTAAATTTAAGTCATCATGAGTGTGTCCCTAGTGAGTTGCTTTACGTTCATGGTGGTTAAGTATATTTGTCAGTTCCGTTTTTACTTAGGGGGGTGGTACAGGGTGTGCATGTTCCGAGGGCAATACAGGGACTTGCGGGCCTGTTAGTTAGGCTCTCTTGTGGTCAGTCTTAGGAACATGTGTAAGTCTGTGGGGTAGACCTAGATTAAAAGCAAAGGTCATGTTTGGTGAACCTCTCAAAGGAGGTGGTGCCCCTAACCATGGGGGGTACCAGGGGGGTGTGCATGTGGTAAAGTGGTGTACTAAGTATATGGCTATGGAGAACCGGACAAGGGCCATACATGGCACTGTGAAACGAGTGCTTGGTTGTATGTTGGTTTGCTAGGGCTCCCTATTTCTAGGCGTCCCAGTCTCGTTGTTGTGTTGTCATGTGGGTGAGGCTGATGTGCAAAAAACATAAACATAAATAGGAAACTGAAATTATAACGTTCAAACTTTGCAGCCTAGGGCCGCAGATTCAGTAAGTTCCTCTGTGAATTTGGGTGGTGGCTGGTAGATTCGGTGCCATTCAGGTGTCAGGCAGATAGTCCGCTGGTTGTCTCGGCACGAATGGTACGACGTTGGCTGGGTCCCATCCTTGAGCGCGGCTTGGGTCCGCTAGTGCTGCTGTCCCATTCTGTATGCCCAGTGTTGAGAGGAATGTTGGTATTTCAGTTCCTGTGGTCAGTTTTTGCGTGGAACCTTTGTGTGAGACGAGGAGAGACCTCGGCGTTCCCCATCTGTAGGTCACTCCTGCAGCCCGTAGTTTGGCGGTGAGAGGATTCAGGGATTTCCTCCATTGTAGCGTGGCTTTTAATAAGTCCTGGTAAAAGGAGAGTTGGGAATCCTCGAATGTAAGTGGGGTCTTATTCCTCACTGCTACCATGATGTGCCCCTTGTC